AGTGTTCACACTTCACACCCATGGCGGGAAGGCGATGCAACATGATAGCAACCACAAGTGCGAGATGCCCTTACTTCGCGCCCCTCCCGCCCAATCCCAAAGTTGAAGTGTCCACATTTTGTCCCTGGCCTTTGGCCTACCGCCTAAACCCGTCAACTTTGAATTTAGGGGACGGGGGGTACACATGTTGGCCCGACGTACTTTAATGACTCAAGATCTTGGCGAGACACGTGTGGACACCACTTTTTGTCCACCCACCGTCCCGCTCTTACTTATGGTGGTGGCGGTGGAGAACAAGCCCACCACGAGGGGTGGCTCGTCGGCCTGGCGTCCAGCTTTGAGCCCAGGGCGGCGCAGCGCGGACGGCGGACGTCCCGACCCCCCCCCCGCCGACCGACCGGGGCGCGCCCCCGCCCGCGCCGGCGCAGCGCGCCGAGGGACGCCTGAAGCTCGGCCGCCGCCGCCGCGCGCGCAGGCCGCGCCGCGAGGCAGCCCAGACCAGCGACTCGGCCCCGCGTGTCCCCAAACCATCAGCGTTAGGTCGGGCGTGTCCAGGCGAATTCTGGACGGAAAATTAGAAATACCCAAAACATGCACCGAAATTAATAAAAACAGCAAATCGTCTCCATATTATTTTCTGACTATTTCTGAATGTTCCCCCTGTAGATGGGCATGCCCGCCTGAACATCAGCGTCTGGAACAGAACAAGGCGAACGATCTTCGCAGCCTCTGGCTTTCGGGGGGCCGCCGCAGGGCCCCAGGACCGTCGAAGAGCGGCAGGGGGCGAGAGGCTGGCCCCGGGGAGGGGAGTCGGGACGTCCAGGGACACCGTGTTGACGACGTCAAGGCCTGGGATCTCAGGGTCGGCACCAGGGCTCGAGCTAAACAGTGCTTCTGTTGTTCTCGTTCTGTCTTCGTTTCCCTTCGTTCTGTCCTCATTGTACATTGGCAGCACAACGAGATCAAAACGAAAACGCTCCACGAAATTGCCAAAAACATCGTTCAGCTCGAGTCCTGGTGCGCACATGGAGAGGAGGGTCTGGGAGCCAGCTACAGCCTCCCGCTCCCGCTGTCGCTTCCGCCACCACTGCTGCTGCCGCTGTCGCTGCTGCTTGGCCGTGGCTCCAAGATGAAGCGTGGCCCTCGAGCTCGCCCGCACAGGCGGAGTCCCAGCCTTGGAATAGAAGAAGAACAAGAAAAAACGGCATAAACATAAACGTTTGGCGCTCCGCGGGGATTTCTTGGATCCGCGCAGAAACCCCCTCCCTGGCACGCCTCCGGCGCCAGGGGTGGCGCTGGACGCGCCGCCGGGGCGGCCCCAGCGCGGATCGAAGAAATCAGCGCGGAGTGCCCCAAGTTTATGCTTTATGGCGTTTCTGCTCCTTCGCTGCAGTGCGCGGGGCCGGCGGCAGCGTCTGGCCGGCCGCTCCCTCCACCTCCTCTTCTTCTGCCTCGCCCTGCTTCTCCTCGTTGGGTGGGCGGGGCGCGCAGCCGTGTCCACGGCCTCGAAGGCTGGGCCCCCGCGCCGCGACCCCCTGCATGCGGGGGGGAGCTGCTCCGCGGCGGCCCCGCGCGAAGCGGCCTCGGGCGACCGCGTGTCCACGGCGTGCGGCGTATCCACGGGGAGGGGGCGACGATGTGGAGGTCGAGGAGGGGAGAGGATGGAGGAGGCGGGGGGATGGAGGAGGGGGGGGCGGACGTCGCGATATAGGGACGAGAGGATCGGCGGGAGAAGACATACAGCAGGAGAGAATGAGATGACCAGGTCGGTAAAAGCACAGCTGGCACCAGCTCTGGAGTCACCTCAACCGCGACGCCGAGACCGTCGCCCCTCTCGTTCAGCTTCGCCGCCACGTCGTCAAGAGAGGCACGCCTAGGACCAGATCGGGGCAGCCCTTCGTCCGCAGCCGTGCGCAGCCCGACGTTCTCTGTGGGCCCATGCGGGGGATGGCCGCCCAAAGGCGTGACGGTGCCGCCCAGCCCGCCACCCATGCCGGCAGCTCGGGCGTGGGTGAACGTCGGCGTAGCAAAAGGTCGAGACACTCATGGGCATCTGCGGGGCTCGGCCGCTGGCGTGGATACCAGACCCTTGTGAAGGATGGCTGACTGAGAAGCCGAGCTGCCGCCCGACGTAGCCTCTGCCGCTCGGGCAGAGGCGGCGTGGGCGATCCTGGCCTGTCTCGGCAGCTGGAACACTGGCATCGCCGACACTCCACCCATACGAAGGCGATGATACTGGCTGGTTGTCTGGTGCTGAATACGGAAGAAGATGTCTTGGTAGGCTTCTTATTTTCATTCGGAGTCACCCGGATGCTGTCGCAGCGTCAGAAGAGCTTGTATGTGACTTCCTGCCAAGCCTCATGTGTATCGTATGTGGCTTCCTGGCACCAATCGTTCCAGCAACATCCGTGGGTCTCACTGTTAGTTCTTGTCCAGCAGCACTCGTGTTCCAAGAATTTGCGGCTTCAGCGAATTCATAAGTTTCTGCCTGTTTCGCTTGCCAGGCTGGGTTGGGCAACGCTCTCCCTGACCCATTTGGTACCGAAGGAAAGGAGGTATGAGGAGAATGAGGAGGAGGGGGACGAGGAGGAGGAGGAGGAGGAGGAGGATGAGGAGGAGGAGGAGGAGAGAGAGAGAGAGAACACAAAAAAATGAGAAGAGAGAAAGGAGGAGAGAGAGAGAGAGAGAGAGGAGGAAAACATTCAGGAGGATAAAGAAAAGAAAGTGGAGGCGGACGAACAAGAGTGGCAGACGGGCAATCAAGCACATCGGGCAAACGGTACGCAGGCAATGTACGCACGCACGCAATATCGAGGGCACAGGCGGATGGATGGCAACCGAACGAACGAGCGAACGTGGGCAAGCAAGCCAAAGCCTTCAACACAACACTTGTGTGCTTCCCTTCTCCTGAATATGCCCCGCATGGCCCCCCTTTCTCAACCGCTTTCCCATATTGCTCCCCCGATTGTACTCAGAGATTTTTCCCTGGGGCCAACTTGTCCTGCTGCGTCGTCTTCGACTGCCCCGAAGGCCCGCAAGGGGGCCCGAGGCCGACAATGGCGAAAGAACCCTCAAGGCCCGGTTCCCACATGACCCCGAGGCCCCCGAGGGCGGCGGAGGAGGAGGAGGAGGAGGAGGAGGAGGAGGAGGAGGAGGAGGAGGGGGAGGAGGAGGAGGAGAGGAGGAGGAGGAGGAGGGAGGGAGGAGGAGAGAGGAGGAGGAGGAGGGGGGGGGAGGAGGAGGAGGAGAGAGGAGGAGGAGGAGGAGGAGGAGGAGGAGGGAGGAGGAGGAGGAGGAGGAGAGGAGGAGGAGGAGGAGAGAGGAGGAGGAGGAGGAGGAGGAGGGAGGAGGAGGAGGAGGAGGAGGAGGGGGAGGGGGGGGGAGGAGGAGGAGGAGGAGGAGGAGGAGGAGGAGGAAGGGTCCCGAGGGCGGCGGGCTGGCGAGAGGAGCCCGACGAGCACCAGCGGAGGAGGGCTCGGGGAGACCCCGCAGGGCGGCCCCCCTCCCCGAGCGTGCCCCGGCCGGGACGGGGGCTCGAGTTTCCCTGACGAGGCGTGGGACACGCATCGACCAAGCTGCGGTTGGGGCCACCGCCGCTCCCTCTGCCTCTTCCTCCTCCTCCTCCTCCTCCTCCGCTTCTCTTCTCTTCTTCCCTTCTCTTATCTTCCTTCTCTTCTCTCTTTCGCTTCGCTTCGCTTCTCTTCTCTTCTCTCTCTTCTCTTCTCTCTCCTCCTACTCCTCCTCCTCCTCCGCTTCTCCTCCTCCTCCTCCTCCTCCTCCTCCTCCTCCTCCTCCTCCTCCTCCTCCTCCTCCGCTTCTCTGCTTCTCCCACTCCTCCTCTACCTCCTCCTCCTCCTCCTCCTCCTCCTCCTTCTCCTCCTCCTCATCCAGCCCTTTTCAGCAGCTGCTCAATGCGAAGACTGCTCTCCTCTCTCCCCCCGAGATGGCTGGGGGGGTCGCCCGCCCTCCTCTGGGTACTGGGTTCCCACACGGCTTCCAGACGCAGGATTTCACATACTGGTCCTACCGAGGGCTCGTTTCAATTGGAACGTCTTTTTCGGTGTCTCAAAATTGTGCTGCCGCTGCAACGCTGACCTCACTTTAGGATCGGCGCCCTGTTCCCGTCGTTTCGACAGGCGCTCTTGCCCGAGCGCGGGCCACTATCTTCCAGATCCGGGTCTCTCCTCACCGTTGTCGTCCCCCCCTTTCCCCTCCGTCCTCTTCCCACGGCCCTCCTGCTCCTCTGGCTTCTTCTTCTTCTTCTTCCTCTTCTTCTTCTCTAGCTCCTGCTGTTGCTGTTCGGCCCTGTCCTCCTCCTCCTTCATCATTCTTCTCCTGCGGCTCATCCGCCACCTCCTCCTCCACTGTACGCAGCTCCCTTTTCCGATAGCGCATGACACGATGTGGCCCTTTTTGATAATTCCAGGTCCGCTGTGACACGCGGCGGCGGACAGAGACAAAATCATTGCAATGGGAAAGGATGGCTGGGAGGGGTAGGATGTCACATATGGCGCGAGCGCACCTGGCTTGTGGCCCCCGCTCTCTTCTTTCTCCTCCCTCTGGGGGTGGACGCCAGCCCCCTCAGGGAACACACACGCTTCGGCGGACATGGCCGCTGCAGCATCCTCTCGAGGGGTCTACAGGGGGCCCTACGGGTGGACTGGCTAAGGTTAGCCGCTGACCCTCTCCCCCTCCAGCGGCCCCCAGAGGCCCTTGTGTGCGTTGAGTGCACATGGAATAGCAGCGGAACTGCCAGAAACGCCCCAATGCCTCAATCCTGAACCCTCGAAACTCGATCCTCTCCCTCCTCCCCAACCTCCGACGGGCTTTTCTATTATGTCCCCCTTGAGTCATGGATCTCGGAAGCGGCTTCAACCTCCTCCTTAATTGTTCAATCCGTTGGAAGCCTGGTCCCCGCCTACTTCCCCTCGAGCTCATCCCTCTCCTCCCGCTCGTCCTCCGCGGCTCCCGGCCACTCCAGGGCAACATTCATATCGTTTTCGCCCGCACGGGCTAGCGCGCAGGGGCCGCTGTGTCGCGTCTATATGTAACTACTACGGCCACTGTGCGGAGGCACTCTTACGGTTGCCTTCCGCCGTTTGCCCCCCCGACAAAGTAGTGCAGGCAGGAAGAACTGGAGAAGCGGCAAGGACAGAGGAGGAGAGTGGACGAATTTTGTATTTGGACGCTTTTAGTCCTATGATGGGCCGGGAAGCCTCTCGAGGCCTCTGGGGACCCTCGGAAGCCTCCTGGGCTCCAGGTAGCACTGAAGTGCGACTGCGCGGAACGTTGAGGAGAACTGAAATCCATCTGCGATGCCTGAACCATGACGATTGACGGGCAACCTCATTATAGAGAAACTGAAAACATGGTTGTTGGGAACTCCGTGGAAGTAGAAGTGGCCAAGGCTGGAACACTGTCACGGGCTGAAGCGAGCCCGAAACAGTTGGGATGGCGTCGCCATGATTGGAACATCTAGAAGGCAGCTGGCCAGGGCTGAAAAGAATTGACGGGATGGATGCAACCACTGTTTCCCAATTTCCTCGCACTCATACAAACAACATCCACGAAACCCACGGCGACAAACATGCTTCTGGATCCCATCCTTCCCCTCTCACGCTACCTCTGACGAATCAGAAGGGCAATGTGCTGGTCCTCCTGGTTCCGTATTACTGGGGCGGCTAGCTGACCACATCCCGACTCCGTTCCGTGCGACAAATTGCTCAACCCCGATTTACGGCGGGGAAGGGACATAACGGGATAGAGAGGAAGAAGGGGGAGAGGAAGTATGTGGACGGAGGCGCCAGGAATGGGTAGATGAATGCGAAGGGAGGTGGGAAAGTAGGAAGCGCGGCACCGCCGAAACAGAGGCGGAGCTGGAGGAGGAGAAGGAGGAGGAGGAGGAGGAGGAGGAGAGACAATCGCCAGCAAGGGGGGCGAGCGGGCCAGCAGCAGCAGCAGCGGAGCAAGGGAAAGTCCAATCCAATGTGCGACACTCTGAAAGTACACACTGCACATGCCACTCGTGAGTACAAGTGGCAACACATGCCCAAGAAACGCTACGCACAGTGCGGCTACGCGTGACACCCCAACGGAAATATTATAGCAAAGTCACCTGGAGCATAACTACATAGGGCAATACGCCTAAAGCCAGCAACCTATCATCGCACATCGTGCCAATAATTGGACCGCATCTTGCTAGCTAGCAACCTAGCATCGCACATCGCGCATCGTGCTAGCTAGCAACCTAGCATCGCACCTACGAAGGGCACTGCATCGCCCTTCGGAAAGCCGATGTCTTGGAGAATGACGTCGGCTTCAGCTGGCGGGCCACAGCACTCAGAGAACCAATCCCGCAGGGCATCTCTGGCTTCATCGTGCTCTACGGCATGACTTCGGGCGCAATATCGAGCAAAGGTATTTAAAGCACTCAGCTTCGAATGGCACGCAACTTCGTTGGCCATGGAACCGGTCGGCTCCAAAGTATCCGTGGACGGCACGGAGAACCAGATACCCTCGACCACATACGTGACATCGAAATCATCAGAGACCAACGCACGAGCCTCAGCAGACACGAGCCCGAACTCGATTATTTTTCACCTGGGTGCGATGGCGAGCGCCGGCAAGGCTTCCTCGGCGGCGCTGCCGAAGAGGTGAAGTTCCGAAAGATGAACCGAAGCGTCCTCGATACCCTGAGCGGCCTCAGGCACGTAGAACTCCCGCTCAATGGCCGCGGCCCTAACCAGCAAATCATCGTAGACCGCTCGCATCGAGGCATCGATCGCCCCAGTGAGGAGCTCAACCTCGGAGAAAACAAAGATGCCATACCCAGCAGCGGAGGCGCCGGTTTGGGAGCAGGCCTCCCGCGTACTGTGTCCGCCAAGTTTGTCGAACAATTCAGCACCCTTTCACACATCCAGCACGCGTGGCCAAGCAACGCAAGGGGGCGCCGCGGCTGTGGCAGGGTGGCCAGAGAGCGCGAGGGTAGACGCGTCCATGCCCGTGGACACGCGGGTGCTACAGTCCATGGGGTCTTTGTTTTCACATTATATGGTGTAGTCTGTGTAGCCGTAGTCGCCAGAATCGGCGCTGCTGCCCTGACTGGTCGTGTCGCTCAGACCTCCATCCGAGCTGAAGTCCTTGCCCCCGCGTTTGCTGTAGTCCGCGTGGGAGCCCACTCGCAGTCTACATTGTCGGTGCTGGTGTTGGGGTCGTGGTCCTTGGAGTCGCCCTTCGCGTCGATGCCGCAGCTGGCTCCCGAGGATGCGGCGATCTCTCCAGTGACGCGGCGCGCGAAACAGGCACGTGACACTGACGTATGTGCCTTGAATGTTGTAGGCGTTGTCGAGCTCGAGCAGATTATTCGCCGTCTTTTCGCAGACCGACCCACGCTGCCAGAACCCACGCCCCGCTTGCGCAAGCCCTTCGAAGTGCGCGCCGGTCAAGGCGGCCACATCGCGCAGCAGATGGCCATGCAGATGAGCTGGTGGGGAAGCATCAAGAGAAACAACAAGACTTACAGTCGCGCCGCGCCTACTGCCAATGGCTACGGAAGAAGAAAGAGGAGGAGTAGAGTGGAGCAGACCGAGAGGCGCACGGGTGCGTCGGTAACGCCCGCTGCCCGCAGCCGCCGCGCGGACCGACCGCGGGCGAAGCGGCGCGCCTCTGCGCGGCGCAGCGTACTCTTCGAACTGGTCGAACGCAGAGCACGGCGATGATAACACAACTGCCCCGACCTCCAGGACGAAACCCGCGATGAGCGGCGCGACGCCCCGCTGCGCGCCGCCGCTCCCCTAGGGGCTCTCTCCCGACGGGTAGGGGAGGGGCGGTACTGAATCCCCGTAGGGGCGTACTCACGCCGCTCCCCCAGGAGCTCTCAGCGGTACTGACCCCCCGCAGGAGCGTACTCACGCTGGACTGGCCCGCCCGCCGCCCCGAGCGACTCTAGGAGGAGGAGCGGCAGGACGAGCAACAGGCCGAGGAGCGACCGGAAGGCCCGCAGCCGCCACGGCGGCCTCGGACGCCGTGGGCCGCGGCAGCCGCCAAACGACTCAGCGCCCGCAGCGTTATGAACTTCGCCCGCTCGACTGGCCCCAGCGGCGGCCGTGGCTGGGCCAGCGGGAGTGGGCCAGCGCGGGCTGGCCGCGCGACGCGCGGCGCTCCAGGCCGCGGGGACCCCAAATGCGTGCATGCAGCGGCCTGCAGCTCGTCCGTGCCCTGCGCCTCCTGCGAAGGTCAGCGCCTGCAGCTCCGCCTCGATGCCCGCGTCGGTATCCGCCTGCTCGACCGCCAGAGGGGCCGCCGACTGCACCGCCACCAGGTCGCCCAGCACCTCCTCGGAGCCCGCTGGCATGGGCCCTCCACACTCTCGCTCTCGATCGCCCTCTCCAGCTGCCTGCGGCGGCGCACTCGCCACGGCGCCGCGGGCTCCGCCAAAGCCGCAGCCAAGGCGGCCCCCATGCGGGTGGGGACCCCTACCACGATGGCTGCGCAGCTCGGCGAACGCCGCCAGCAGCCGCTCGACCGCGCGCCCTTCGGCGCGGCGGTACTGCGCCCGCCGTTCGGCGGCACACCAGTTGGGGCGCCGGCGCCGAGGTGCTGCGTCCATTGCCAGCCTCGGCAGCGCGATCGCCGCGGGGCACCAGCAGAGCAGCGGGCTCCGTGCTGCTGGCTGGCAACCGAGCGCGAAGCTCGAGCCGAGCTGGCACAAGAAGAAGGAGGAGGAGGAGGAGGAGAAATGAGGATGAGGACGAGGGATACAAGAAGGGGGAGGAGGATGAAGAGGAGGAGGCGGAGGAGGAGGAGGGGACCAGTGCAAACCCAAGACTCATCAACGATGTTGCAATACATCCTTCCTCCAAGTTCCCTCGTCATGGCTTCAGACAAGGGTTCACTTTCACTGAAGGGAGTGTCCTGTTTGAAGACAACCGCTTGAACATCCCGAACTGTGCCAGAACACAATTCCTGGCACGTCAACGCCGCGAATCAACGTCACTATTGCGTCTTGACGGGCCTGCATCGCGTGAGGCTACCATTCCTGGGACTTCAACACCACGAATCAACGTAGCTGTTGCGCCCTGACAATCCGACATCGTGCCCAAACACCATTTCTGGGATAGTACCACTGATAATTCGTAAAGTTACTGTACAATCTTACAGCGACTGTGCGCAGCGCCATGGCGAGAACCACTTTTTGAAAACGAGCCGCCCTCCATCCGAGAAGAACCTGCAACTGCTCAAGACGAGTGTGCGCGGCGCTAAGACGAGAACCACACTTAGAAACGGAACCGCCCTCCATCCGTGAAGCTCCTGCACACTTTCAAGGCGAATGCGCGCGACGATAATGCGAAAACTACATTTTGAATACGACCCGTCTTCCATCCGCGAAACACCTGCATGTTTGAACGAAGGCGCGCGGCACGAAGGCGAGAGACGCATTTGGAAAACGACCGGCCCTCCGTCCGTGCAGCTCTTGCGACTTTTGCATCGTAAAGGTCATACCTGACGAGGGGGTCTCCACGGCCACGCCCGGCCGCCCCACTGACACGCCTCGGAGTGAGACAGGTTGGAGTTAAGCACTTCTTCGGGAAAGGATGGGGGAGGAGGAAGAGACGAGGAGGATTTTTTGGGGAGGGGAGTGGGGAGGAGAACGAGGAGTTGGACAAGGAGGAGGAGGAGGAGGAGGAGGAGGAGGAGGAGCTCGGGGATGAACAAGAAGAAGAAGAAGAAGACGAGAAGACACTCCTTCGAGACGGCGGCTGAGCCCCGCCCACTCCTCAGGCGTAAACCACCTCCTGGGCCACCGAGAGTCAAGCGGCGGCGCCACACCTCTCAGAGATTATGTGCCGCACGCCTTGTCCAGAGGTCCGGCCGCGAGCGCGCCCGCTGCAAGGTGGGATGCTCGAGTGCCTGCCCCACCCCGTCGGTGCGGTACATGACGGATTTCGGAAGTCCTAAACCCCCAAAAAGTGTTCATCTCTTCGGGGGCGCAAAATTCACTTCCGCCACCTTCCGCCGCCCTTCCGCCGGCTTCCGCCAGCGGAGGCGGCCTCGTTTCACTTCCGCCGACCTTCCGCCACCCGTCCGCCGCCTTCCGCGGCGGAAGAGATGGCAACTCCTTCTACCCTCGAAGGCAGGGCCATTTCTGAAAAGCCCCAAGGGGGGGGGGGGGGGAACACGGTGCTCCTTCTTCGGGCACCCTCAGCGGCCCGGAAGGGCACCTTTCCTGCAGCCCTCGCTGCTCCCCCCAGTCATCGCCCCCCACTGCGCGACGCCCAACCGCTTGGCGGCCACGCCGCTCCGGGGACCACTGTCCGTTGCGTGCCACGACAGGACTGGCCGCACGCGAGCCGCTAGATCGAACCGGAGCGGAGCGGGCGCTGGGTCGGGCCGCGCCGGCACTCGGCACGGAGCCGGCATCGAAGCGCATCGGCCGCGCCAGGAGGCACAACTGCGCCGTGCAGGCACGGGGCCGCGTCGGGTCGGCGGAATTTCGAAATCGAATCGTGTCGAGCGCCGCGAACTCGAGATCGAATCGGATCAGTCGAAGCCGGCACGCGCAACGAGAGAGGAGGAGGGGGAGGAGGAGGAGGAGGAGGAGGAGGAGGAGGAGGAGAAGGAGGAGGAGGAGGAGGAGGAGGAGGAGGAGGCGGAGGAGGAGGAGGAGCCGCCGCGATGGGCCCTGCCATTATTGGACGGGGGGTGCGGCGGCGCGGCGGGACGACCATCTGAGGCGGCGCAACGGGCCTGCTAGAAGGGCTCGGAGAGCTTAGCTGCCCCGGTACGAAACACGCAACACGCAGCGTGCCGACACGGAGCTCAACACGTAGACCCTGCGAAATGCTTGAGAAATCATGGGTTCAGACATTCATAGTCTCCGAACTTGAATAAAAACCCAAATTTGCCATTAAAATCTTAAGATTTACATTGAAACGTTAAGAATAATCGAGACTCTGGCCGAAGACTTGGGTTTTCTCAAGCATCGCCTAGAGTGTAGACTGAAAACGCCGGTCGGGCTCGATACGTTCGCCGAAACGTGGACCAACACGCGCGGAACCAACACGCAGCGCCCATCCCCAGTGGTCCAGGGTTCCTTGACGCCTCCAGCTCACCCCCCCCGTCGTAGGGATGGATGCCGCGAAACCTCACGGAGACGGCATCTATCTCCACCTGGGGCAGCGGGGCGAAGCTTCTCCAGTGGGGATGGGGGCTGGTCCAACGATGCTGCAGCGTGCCGCCCAATTGATGCTGCCTTTCTCGGCTGCGAAGTGCGAGCGGGTGGCACGACAGCGCCACACGGGAAGCCCCGCTCCACTGTGGCTGGCAGCGCCGAGAAGCTTCCAGCTTCCCCGGCCTCCCCTCGCCCCATTGCGTCCGCAGTTGGGTGTCCACCCATCCTAGCAGCCCGCCTTTCTCCCCCCTCTCTTCCTGGAGACTGTCTCCTGGAGAGGGGGTCCCCTCCTCCTCCTCCTACTCCTCCTCCTCCTCCTCCTCCTCCGCCTTCCTCCCCTCTCTTCCTAGGAAGCCCCGCTCTTCATGGAGACTGCCTCCAGTCCTCGTGCTACTAGAAGGGGCGGCGGAACGTGGCACGACAGCGACCTCCCGGCCTCGGCGGGCCTCGGCAACGAGTGGGTCCCCAAGAAGCGACCCGAACACCAGTGGCCCTCCCGAGTCCAGAGGGGAGGAAGGCGGAGGAGGAGGAGGAGGAGAGGGGAGGGAGGCGGAGGAGGAGGAGGAGGAGGAGGAGGAGAAGGAGGAGGAGGAGGAGGAGAAGGAGGAGGAGGAGAAGGAGGAGAGGGGTGTACCTCGTTTCAGCGTCTTGGCAATGCTCCGGAAGAACGGCCAACTCCGCATCGAGAGCTCCGGCCGGGTCGGCTCTGGCATCGAATCGGGCCGCTTCGGCGCGGAGCCGGAATCGAACCGGCTCGCCGAAGCCATTCCCTTCTCCTCCTCCTCGCTCCTCCTTCTTCTCCTCCTCCTCCTTCTCCTCCTCCTCCTCCTTCTCCTCCTTCTCCTCCTCTTCTCCTCCTCCTCCTCCTCCTCCTATCGATCGGATCGAAATGGGCCCTGCTCTGCGAGCCGTGCCGCGCAGACTTTTCGGCGGCGAGCGAGGGCGGCAAGTGAGGAGGAAGAGGAGGCCTTCGCAGACCGCGGCGGGGCTTCTCAGAAGCCCCGAGGCCTTCTGAGAAGGCTTCTGTCCCTTGGGGGAAGGCTTAGAGCACTTCTCAGGAGGCACGGGGCCTTCCGAGCCTTCTGAGAAGGCCCGAACCTCCTCACTTCGCCCCTGGGCTCGCCGCCGAACTCTAGCAGTCGAGCCGACCGCGTCGACGAGGCAGGACGCCGAGGCCCCTGATGCGAAACACTGCTGGCGTTCTGTTCTCACGGATGGCATGAACCCTTCAGGGCAAGTCATCGCGTGCCCACCTGCATCCGATCTGAACGACATTCGACGAAACCTGGTATTTTCGCTTCGCTCTGATGTGGCGAAGCGGCTGCTGGTAGAACACAGAGCAACGCACGCGAAAACAATATGATACGACACGGCTAAAACGGTTGTAATGCTCTGCTACAGCGCACTATGATAAACAGGCTGACAATGGTAGCCATCTGAAGCTACCCTGGCCAATGTAGAACGATTCCTGGCGAAGATCGGCTCGTCAGTGACCTACGAGCAGAGCTCACGCTACATGTATGGTCTGTTTTGTGCATTACCAACGTCGCCGAATATGCAATCAGCGCGGGGCAAATGCCGCGCGCTTCTGCTATACGTCTCCTGAAGAACTACTCTCCGAACCTTCAATGGCACTGACCCTTGGTGGGACAAATATTATGAGACCGATCCGAATCGGTACTTTGGGACACATCTGGCAGCTCAGAATATGACTGTTCCTGCTGGCGCAAGAGCTAACAACTCCGCAATCCATGCCCCAGCCAAACCGCGCGTAGCACGTAAAGTCTTGATCAACCAACAAACCATTGTGCGGCTACCGCTGTCGCTCGCGTTCACAAGTGGCGTAATGCTTCGCACCGGACGCTCCATCGTGATTGCTGGTGGCATCGCGGATTGCAGAGTGCTGCCTGCTCCGACCACCTGTTCCTGCTGTGTTAGATGAAGGATGGCTCGAACATCCCACTTTGAGCACGACTGTCTGACGCGGAACGTCTCGGCCATGTCGATGGCATTGTAAACTAATGCGCTGGCCACGCGCTATCAGCATTCTGCAACGAGCTCGTGAAAACGGCGTCGCCATCGCTGATGGGCTGCCCAAGGGATCCTAAGGGGCAGTGGCAAACTGCACATCGCTATCCTTCCTCCTCCTGCTCTCTTGATCGCCCCCCACCTGCGCAAGGTGCAGCGTGAATTGATGGAAAATGGCGCCGTCATGGGAGGCTCCAGCGAGGCGAGAGATAGCGCCGCGCGGGGCTCATGGCTACTACCATACCTAAATAGCCTTCTAAGGAGTCAGCTCCGCGGCGCTTGTTGAATTCAACGGGCCCGAGTCCACCTTCAAGAGGAAAGGGCCGCGCACATGCGCGTTTAGAGAAGAGCGCGAACATCTGTACATCGTGCGCGCGGCTGCGCGCGACGTATCCTTCATTCCTAATGTTTCCGGAAGTCTGCAGGATCTCTGGAGTCCTCGGAAGCGCGTGCAGAGACCGAACACAGAAGACAACAACATTGCATAAACATCAACTCTTGGAGGCACACTCGGATTTCTTGGACCCGCGCCGCCCCTGGCGCGCTCCGCGCGCCAGGCAGGGGGTCCAGCGCCGCTCCAAGAAACTCCTGCGGACCTTCGAAAGGCTATGCTTATGCCAACTCAGCTTCTTCGAGAACAGGGCCGCACAATCTCCAATACGTCCGAGGACTTCCAACTCCTCGATCGCGCTGCGCTTGAAACGGATGCAGTCCACGTGGCCGATCGCCCCAGCCCTTCGGCAGCGCGGCGGGGTCCCTGTGCGGAGCCCGCCAGGCGAGCGCGGGCCCGAAAAATAATTATTGTGGCAGCTGCGGGTGCTGCGGAAGGCTGGACCGAGCGCGGGGGCGGGGCTGTCACGGCTTCCGCGCGCCAGTGAGGGGGGGTCACTCTCAGCCTCCTTGGGGCCTCTCCTGGGACAACGGCTGGGGATGAGAAGCCCGTCCGGCGCAGGTCGGCGGCGCGCACAGGAGGCTGGCGCGACGGGGGGGGTAGCCTCTCAGAAAGCGGGCGGCTTGTCTGAAGGCAGGGGCCTCCCTGGAGGCGCCGGGATGCTTCTAGGACGGCTTCTTGTGAAAGCCAGACGGGCGTCTGAGGAGCCACCGGCCTTCCCAGATGACCCCCCCGCCTCCTCAGACGGCCGCCACCCTCGCGCCACCCCCTTGCGCACGTCCCCAGAGTCTGGCCCAACTTCCAAGAGGTGATCAGAAACATAGCGCGGACATTATGTAGCCGTCGCAGCCCTCGTCGAGAGATGCCGCCGATGGGACAACTACTCGGCTTTCCCACTGCTGCCGTCATCGACGAAACCTTCCACGTGCAAGGGGCTGGCTGAGAGGTAATACGTAGCACTTGCCTTACACACCGAACTCTAATCGACGCTGACCGATCGAGCACACCATGATCTCTTAGCAGTAGAATGTGGACGACTACCTACAGCATCGGCCAAGTGACTTAGGTCATGGAGCCCACGACGATACCTATACGACCACCCTTCGGGTGATAAGGAGTTTGTGTGGGGGGGAACCAACATCTGACTCAATCGATCTCACTACTGATCTCACTCAACGGGACCCCACGGGACACCACGGGACACTTGTCGATCTCACTATCGATCTCACTCAACGGGACACCACGGGACACCACGGGCCACCATGGGACACCACGGGACACTGCGGGACACATCTCGATCTGGATATCGATCTCACTATCGATCTCACTATCGATCTCACTCAACGGGATACCACGGGACACCAAAGGACACCATGGACACTTCGGGACACCACATCGACCTCAATATCGATCTCACTATCGACCTCACTCAACGGGACACCACGGGACACCACGGGACACCACGGGACACCTGTCGATCTCACTATCGATCTCACTATCGATCTCACTCAACGGGACACCACGGGACACCACGGGACACTGCGGGACACATCTCGATCTGGATATCGACCTCACTATCGATCTCACTATCGATCTCACTCAACGGGATACCTCGGGACACCACAGGACACCACGGGACACTGCGGGACACCACATCGACCTCAATATCGATCTCACTATCGACCCCACTCAACGGGACACCACGGGACACCACACGACGGGACACCTGTCGATCTCACTATCGATCTCACTCAACGGGACACCACGGGACACCACGGGACATCTGGGGGCACCACATCGATCTCAATATCGATCTCAATATCGATCTCAGAATCGATCCCACTATCGATCTCATTCAACGGGACAGCACGGGACACCACGGGACACCACGGGACATCGCGGGACACCGCGAGCCACCGCCGGACGGACGGACGGACGGGCGGGCGGGGGAGAATCATTTGTCTTGACGTCGTCCTAGCAACGGCAGACACCATTGGACACCACGGGGCACCACGTGACACTGCGAACCACCGCACGGACGGACGAGCTGAGGGAGAGAATCATTTGTCTTGACTTCGCCCTAGCAACGGCCGATACCACGGGACACCACGGGACACCACGGGACACCGCGAGCCACGGGCAGGAGGGGGAGAATCATGTGTGCTGACTTCGCCTTAGCAACGGCGGACACCACGGGACACCACGGGACACCACGGGCTACCGCGGGCTACCGCGGGCCACCGCCGGATGGGCGGGAGGGGGAGAATCATGCGTCCTGACTTCGCCCTAGCAACGACGGGTTCATTCCTCTCGCGCGATCACGCAGCTTCGCCTCGCCCGCACGCACGACACGAACGAAACGAAACGATTCCCTGGTGGGGTGTCTCCGTCCCACTGCGATCTCACCCTTCAACCTCCGATCCTAGGCTGCGCTGTGTCGGCGATTAAATCCGCTGGCCCCCTTGCGGGGCCATCAGTCTCCGCGGCTTAGGCTTGCTGCTCCCTGCTCCTATTACAGTTTCCAGTCCCTGATGTTACAATTGTGTGTTCTGCTTACTTCTGTCACTTGTTGAAGTCCGCGCAAGGGGGGGGAGCCGAAAAGGGCCCTGTTCACCACCACCTGGAGGACTTTCAGAATTTTAGCGGGGCCCTGGGACATGTAAAAATGCTTGAGAATTGCGCCTCCGAGGCCATGAGCCCTTATAGATTATACCATAATCGCGCCCCTGAGGCCACAATCCTTCCTGGAAATTATGCAATGCTCGCGTCCCCGAGGCGATACACCTTGGCAAGTAACGCTGTGTTCGCGTTCCCGGGAATCTAATTCTTAGCAGACTACGCAATACTCGCGTCTTCGAGGCAATACTCTCTCGTACATTAAGCAAATTCTGCGTCCCCCAAAAACGAACCCTGATACATTAAGCGTTCTTCGCGCCAAAAGAATCAGGAACCATCGTACAATACGCAGCACTCACGCTTTCAAGGCCGCAATACTTAATAAACGGCCCCCGAGACGGTACAAGAGGCCCCCAAGATGCGCCCAAGAACGCTCCAAGAGCACCCCCAAAAGGAGCCCCAGAGGCGAACATCTGCGATGACACTTAGGTTTTTGACGGATTTCGGCGCGCTCGTCTTTTAGGGCATCCGACGCTCCAAGACGGGCCAACGGGCCCCTCCAAGACCGCCCCGAGACGGCCCAAGAGGCTCTCCAGAGCGCCCCAAGAAGGTTCAAGAGGGCCCCAAGACGGCTCAAGAGACCCCCATGACGGCCCACAAGGGCTCCAGACGGCCTCAATAAAGACTCGAGACGGGGGACCCGAAGCGACGTTTCGAGCCTAACGCATCTCTTGCATGCCTCATTCTCCGGATGGGCTGGCGGCAGGGACGAAGCCTTTGCGGATATATTCCTACAAAACCCCAGAGGAAAGCCTGCCGTTCCTGCTCCACTAGATGGCTAGGTCAAGTGCGAGTATAGCTGTTTTTGTTTGTAGCGTTGGAAGTCTGGGTATGCAGCTGTTGCCGACAAAGCTCAGCAAGGGGGGGCTGCGAAGGGCACTCGGACGGCGTGGGTCGGTTTCGCTGGCGGTCGGTTTCTCCAAGGTTGATTTCGCCGAAATTCGTCGTCGGTGGGCTTCGCCCAGTTTCGCAGGCGGTCGGTTGCGCTCGTTCGGCTTCGCCGGCGGTCGATTTCGCTGGCGGTCGGTTTCGCTGGCGGTTGGGCCTGCTTGTTTTCGGCTTGCGGGCTTCTAGGTCACTTCCTGGTGGACTGGGCCACCAAAAGTGGGCCACTCCCCGGCGGCGCCAAGAAGTGGCTGAGATCGTCACCGCAAATTTCGCAAATGTTTCGTCAGGGCTCGCCACAGAAGATAAAAGGAAAAAACACTTTACCCAAGCTTTCACAGAACACGATGGTGCTGAGAAGTAGGTGATGACGTAGTAATAGTAGTAGTAGTAGTAGTAGTAGTAGTAGTAGTAGTAGTAGTAGTAGTAGTAGTAGTAGTAGTAGTAGTAGTAGTAGTAGTAGTAGTAGTAGTAGTAGTAGTAGTAGTAGTAGTAGTAGTAGTAGTAGTAGTAGTAGTAGTAGTAGTAGTAGTAGTAGTAGTAGTAGTAGTAGTAGTAGTAGTAGTAGTAGTAGTAGTAGTAGTAGTAGTAGTAGTAGTAGTAGTAGTAGTAGTAGTAGTAGTAGTAGTAGTAGTAGAAGTAGTAGTAGTAGTAGTAGTGGTAGTAGTAGTAGTAGTAGTAGTAGTAGTCGTAGTAGTAGTAGTAGTAGTAGTAGTAGTTGTCGTCGTCCTCGTCTTCGTCGTCGTAGTAATAGTAATAGTAGTAGTAGCAGTAGTAGTAGTGGTAGTAGTAGCAGCAGTAGTAGTAAGAGTAGTTCTAGTATTATTATTATTATTGTTGTTGTTGTTAGTAGTAGTAGTAGTAGCAGTAATAATAGTAGTAGTAGTAGTAGTAGTAGTAGTAGAAGTCGTCGTCGTAGTACTAGAAGTAGTAGCAGTAGTAATAGTAATGGGTTCTGCAGTAGCAGAAATACAAGTAGCAGAAGCAGAAGCAGAAGAAGAAACATACGTAGAAGTAGAAGTAGTGGTAGTAGCAGTCGTACTATCAGTATCAATCGTAGTTGTAGTGGAGTTACTAGTAGAAGTGTTCGTGGTAGTACTACTCCTGGTAGTCCTGGTGGTAGCAGTTGTAGCAATAGTAGTAGCAGCAGTAGAACATAGTGGTCGCAGTGATCATATAACGAAGAATAATGGGCCTTTAGCAACAGCAGTGCTACTCCTCCTCGCAGCAGTAGTCGTAGTACTACTTGTAGTACAAGTAAAGCTAGTAGTAGTAGCAGTAGTAGTGGCAAGAGTAATAATCATGGTAGTCGTAGAAGTAGTAGTCGTATTATTAGTAGTAGTCGCAGCAGAACTGAAGAATAGTAACGGCATGCGTAGCCGAAATTGTAGTAGTAGTGGTAGTAGCAGGAGTAGTCGTACTGGTCTTAGTACTAGTAGTAGTAGTCAAAGCGATCGTGGCAATGGTAGTGGTGGTCGTAGTACTCGTTGTAGTACTACTAGTAGTAACAGGAGCAGTGGTAGGAATAGTAAGAGTAGTAGTCGTAGGAGTAGTAGTAGTAATACTCAGACTCGTAATGACATCTGCGGTAGTAGTAGTAGTAGTAGTAGTAGTAGTAATCGTAATAGTAGTAGTAGTCGTAGTCGTAGACGTAGTAGGCGTAGACTCGTAGTGAGAGTCGTAGCTGTAGTAGTGGCAGTAGAAGCAGTCATAGTAGCAGTAGTCGCAGTCGTAGTAATCATGGTATAGTAGCAAAGGTAATACTAGAACTCGTAGTAGTAGTAATAATAATAGTAGTTGTGGCCGTGGAAGGGATGGTCGTAGTGGTGGTAGTAGTAGTAGTAGTAGTAGTAGAAGTAGTAGTCGTAGTCATACTAATAAAACTAAATGTAATAGTCGGAGTATTAGTGATCGTAATCGTAGAAATAGTAGTTGCAAAAGTAGTAGCTGTTGAAGTAATGATAATGATCGTAAGAAGTGGTGGCCGTAGTAGTAGTAGTAGTAGTAGTACTACTACTATTAGTAGTAGTAGTCGTAGTATTAGAACCAGTCGTAGTAGTAGTCGTATTAACACTAAACAGAAATGCTAATACAAATAATAAACATAAACATAACCCGAGAAGACGGAACATAAGTAGTAGAAGTGGTAGTAGCAAGGGTAGATGTAGTCCTCGTAGAGGTCGTCGTAGTCGGACTAGTAGTCGTAGTAGTCGTGGTAGTAGTAGCAGTAGTAGTAGTAGTAGTAGTAGTAGTAGTAGTAGTAGTAATGGTAGTAGTCGTAGTAATATGAAGAGGAGTAGGTGTAGTAGTAATAGTAGGTACTGATAGCGGTCGCAACGATAGATTTATTAGTGGTGGTGGTACGTCGTAGCGGCAGTACGAGTAGGAATAATAATCGTAATGGTAACAGTAGCCAGCAGTACAAGTCCTCATACTTGTAGTCGCACTACGAGTGGTCGTAGCAGTAGTAGTAGTAGTAGTAGTAGTAGTAGTAGTAGTTGTAGTCGTGGTAGTCGTAGTAGTAGTAGTGGCAGTAGTAGCAGCCATAAAGGTAGTAACCGTAGTATGTATTCATTCGTGCGAGTAGTAGTAGTAGTAGTAGTCGTCGTCGTCGTCGTCGTCTTTGTCGTCGTCGTCGTAGTTGTAGTAGTAGTAGTAGTAGTAGTAGTAGTAGCAGTAGTAGTAGTAGTAGTAGTAGTAGTACAACTAATAGTAGCAAGGGGTTGTAATAGAAGGTCTCGTAATCGTTGTCGTAGTCATGGTCGTAATCGTAGCGGCAGTAGTCGCAACAGAAGCAGTAGTAGAAGAAGTAGTAGTAGTAGTAGCGGTGGTAGTAGTAGTAGTAGTAGTAGTAGTAGTAGTAGTAGTGGTATGTCTGCCTAAGTGATAACAGTAGCTGCACCAATCGTGTAGGGTGTAGTAGCATTAGAAACCGTAGTAGTAGTATTAGTGGTAGTAGCAATAGTCGTAGTCGTAGTCGTAGTAGTAGTAGTAGTAGTAGTAGTAGTAGTAGTAGTAGTAGTAGTAGTAGTAGTAGTGGTAGTAGGGGGCGTAGTGCATGTGCTAGTACGAATCGTAGAAGTAAAGGTAGCAGTAGCGGTATCACTACTCGTAGCAATCGCACTGATGGCGTAGGATCTGCCGTAGCAGGGCCAATCCCAGCAGCAACAGCCGTAGCAATATTAGTCGGGATGGTAGAAGTAGCCGTGGTAGTAGCCGGAGTAGAAGTCATAGGCGTAAGCGTAAGAGTATACATAAACATCGTATTGGTAGTAGTCGTAGTGCAAGTAATAATAATAGTCGCAACAATAGTAGTAGCAGCCAAGGTAGTGGGCGTATCCGCAGCAGTCGCGAATGTAACAGTAGTCTTCGTAGTAATAGTCGTCGTCGTCGTCGTCGTCGTCGTCGCAAAATGAGCTGCCGTAGTAGTAGTAATGGTAGTAATGCTCGTAGTAGAGGTAGCAATAATGTCAGTAGTAGTAAAAGCGGTAGTAGTCACACTCGGAGTAGTAGTAAGACTAGTCCTAGTCGTGGTTGCTGCCATAGTAATAGTGGTGGCGGTAGTAGGAATAGTAGTTATAGCAGTCGTAATCACATTGGTACAAATAGTAGCAGCAGCAGTTGTAGTAGAAGAAGAAGACGTACACAACGAATTAGTAGAAGCAGCAGGAGTAGACGTACTAGTAGTAGTAGTAGCAGTAGTAGTAGTAGTAGTAGTAGTAGTAGTAGTAGTAGTAGTAGTAGTAGTAGTAGTAGTAGTATTAGTAGTAGTAGTAGTAGCAGTAGTAGTAGTAGTAGTAGTAACAGTAGTAGTAGTAGTAGTAGTAGCAGTAGTACTAGTACTAGTAGTAGTAGTAGTAGTAGTAGTAGTAGTAGTAGTAGTAGTAGTAGTAGTAGTAGTAGTAGTAGTAGTAGTAGTAGTAGTAGTAGTAGTAGTAGTAGTAGTAGTAGTAGTAGTAGTAGTAGTAGTAGTAGTAGTAGTGGTAGTAGTGCAAATAATCGGAGTCGGGCTACTGGTAGTAGTAGTGGTAGCAGTCAGGGTGGCAAACATAATCGTAGTAGTCGCGATCGTCGCCGTAGTACTAGGAGCAGTAGCAGTGGCAGTCGTCCTAATAGCAGCGAACGTACTAGTAGTAGTAATAGTGATAGCCGTTGTGGTAGCAGTAGGACTTGTAGTGGCAGTAGATGTAGCAGTAGTGGTACTCGTCGTAGTATGCGTTGTGGCTGTGGTAATCGAAGTAATAGTACTGGTCGTAGCCGCAAGCACACTAGAACTGGTAGTCGCAGAAGCAGCCGCAGTAGTAATACTCACAATCGTAGTGGTAGTAGTAGTAGTAGTAGTAGTAGTAGTAATAATAATAATATAGTAGTAGTAGTAGTAGTAGTAGTAGTAGTAGTAGTAGTAGTAGTAGTAGTAGTAGTAGTAGTAATAGTAACAGGAGTAGCAGCAGTCGTAGTAGTATACTAGTATAGTAGTAGTAGTAGTAGTAGTAGTAGTAGTAGTAGTGGTGGTGGTGGTCGTAGTAGTAGTAGTAGTAGTAGTAGTAGTAGCAGTAGTAGTAGTAGTAGTAGCAGTAATAATAGTAGTAGTAGTAGTAGTAGTAGTAGTAGTTGTAGCAGTAGTAGTAGTAGTAGTAGTAGTAGCAGGAGTAGTCGTAGTAGTAGTAAGAGTAGTAGTAGTAGTAGTAGTAGTAGTAAGAGTAGTCGTTGTGGTAGTAGTCGTAAAAATGGAAGTGGCAATCGTCGTAGCCAGTCGTCGCCGTTGTAGTGGTAGTAGTAGTAGTAGTAGTAGTAGTAGTAGTAGTAGTAGTAGTAGTAGTAGTAGTAGTAGTAGTAGTAGTAGTAGTAGTAGTAGTAGTGGTAGTAGTCGTAGTAGTAGTAGTAGTAGTAGTAGTAGTAGTAGTACTCGTCGTCGCTGTAGTCGTAGCCGTGGTAATCGCAGTGGCAACAAAAGTGCGAATAATAATAGTAAGACTGGCAGGAGCAATGATAATAACTGCAGTCGTCGTAGATTGGTTAGTAGTCGTGATAGTAGTAAAGGTAGCAGTAGTAGTAGTCGTCGTAGTAGTCGTAGTCGTAGTCGTAGTAGTAGTAGTAGTGGTAGTAGTAGTAGTAGTAGTAATAGCAACAGCAATTACAATATTAGTAGCACCCGTCGTAGTAGCGGTGTAGCATTGGTCGTTCGAATGGTAACCGTAGTCGTCGCATTAGTAATCGTAGTAATCGTAGCCGCAGTCGTAATAATATAAGTTGTTGTTCTATCGCTGAAAAAGTACTAGTAGTAGTAATGGAAAACATCGAGTCGTAGCAAAGCTGTCGTAGTGGTAGTCGTAGTAGTAGTTGTAATAGCAGTAGGTCGTATTCGCAATAATAGCAATAACAGTCGTAGTCGTAGCAGCGGTAGTCGTAGCTGTAGTAGTCACAGTGGCAGAAGTAGTGCTCACGGTCGAAGAAGTAGTAGTAGTCGTCGTAGTAGTGGTGGTAGTAGTAGTAGTAGTAGTAGTCGTAGTAATAGTAGTAATAGAATAGTAGTAGTCGTAGTAGTAGGCAATACAATTTCCGAACATATGTGGAAACCAACATCACGACATGCAACTTAAACAATATCCGAAGCCAAGCCTAGAACATATCCGAACGACTACCAGCATCCTAAACAATGTCCTAAACAATATCTTACGCAATAGCCCGAACATAATCTTACACACTAGCCTGAGCAATACCCCACACCGTAGCATAAACCACGTTTCAAGCAACACACAACATGACATACGCAGTGACAAACTTGATACAATCCTTGACCGTATTCTGAACTGGTCTATTACGCTATATCCTACCCAATATCGTCACCATTATTATAAAGATCGCCCGTATCACTACTAAAGACAACCTCAACAATATCTTGGACACTATCTCGCTCACTGCCACCAAGACCATCATAAGCAATATTCGAATCAACGTCCTTCAAGAAAAATTACACGCCATCCTAGACATTCCCCTGAACAGCCCCACAAACAACACACATAACACGTTATCATATACAACATCCTGAACCACATTCTAACCACTATCGTACACAAGATCCAAAACTGCACCACCAGCGATGTCCCAAGCACTGTTCTAAGTAGTCTGCCTCTCTAAGGTTGTGCCTGTAGCGCTGGCGTCTCCAAGGCTTAAGTAAGAGCAGCGAATGTCTCTCCTGGGCTTACATGCGAGTAGCTTCTGCCTCTCTAAAGTTTAAGTGTGGGTAGCGTCTGGCTCTCTAAGGCTAGAGTGCGGGCAACGTCTGTCTCTCGAGGGTTCAAGTGCGGATGGCGGCCGTCCCTCTAATGTTTACGTGCGCGTGGCGCGTGTGCCTCTACGGTTCAAGTGCATGTAGCGCTGGTGTCTCTAAGATTCATGTGCGGGTAGCGTCTGTCCCTCCAAGGTTGTAGTGCGTGTTGCGCTTTTGCCCCTGAGATGAATCCGTGTGCCCTGGCAAGTTGTTTCTTTCAATCCGTGGGCTGCAGATCTCTGTCCCCCTCCCCGGGGGATGGATTCTCACCCGGTTTTTCGAGACGGTCCCAGGGCCTGGAAATTGCCCCCCCCCCCCGGATACCGAGTCGAAACGAAAAGGCTAGAACTGCCGCATTGAAGATATTAATCCGCCAGAGTTCCGGAGGGGGAGGAGGAGGAGGAGGAGGAGGAGGAGGTGGAGGAGCCCAGGGGCCAGCATGGACGTCGGTGTCCGCCGCGCCGCGGGCCTGCTCCCAGGCCCCGGGACCCCAGGGCGTCAGATCAACCACGCGGGGGCTGCGGGGGGGGGAGCCCCTCGAAGGAAGACCGCCCAGAGAACTGGGAGGGAGGAGGTGGCGAAGCAGGAGGAAACGGATAGAAGATCCACATCTTCAGCCGTTCGCTAGAAATCGAGCTACTGGAGTCGCGCGGCTGGCAAGCCGGGCGCCCAAAACGGCTCAGCGTGCGCCGCTGGGTGGGGCCCCGGGGATGCGCGGAGGCGCGACAAAGGGCCTTGGCGCCGAGGGGTACTGCTCGTGCCGCTCGGCACAGGAATGGCAGCAACGCGTCAGCTTTGTACACGCTGGCTGCCAGTCAGCTTCCTGAGCACGAACTCGTCCAAACACCTGGCCCCCTGGTTCCCGCAGAGGAGGGGGGGGTTCTGCGACGTTAGTTCGTGCGCGTCCTCGTCCTGGTCCCCCTCCTCCTCCTCATCCTGCTCCTCCCGCTTCTCCTCCTGCTCCCCTTTCCTCTCCTCCTCCTCCTCCTCCTCCTCCTCCTCCTCCTCGACTTCCTCTCCTCGCCCTCAGGGAAGCAGTCCCGCCTGATATTGGGCCCCCTCGTCAATGGAGCCCGATTCCTTCCCAGAGCCCGGCAGGCCTGATAGTCGGGCCCCGACGGGCCCCGACAGAACAGGCCCAGGACACGGCCAGCCCCACTGCGCCCCTGCGCCAGTGCCTGCCTTGCCCCCAGCTTCTGCCCCCTGCTCGCACGCGACGCCCTGGGCCAGCCAGAGCACTCGCTTCAGTGGCGAGCGGCCGCGGACGCAGCGCGAGGCGGCCGGCCAGCGAGGGACACGCGCCAGCGAAGCGGGCCCGGTGCAGGAGAGGAGCAGCCCAGTCTCGCTCGGAGGATGCACGGGGAGGGGCGGGGGGCTCGGAGGTGTGGAGCTCTCTTGGACAGGCGGCGTGTGGAGCTCTCTTGGGCAGGCGGCGCTGGATCCCCCGCGAGTGCTGCAGGTCGCCGCAGCGAGGCCGTGCCAGCGAGGGGGATGGGGATGGGGGGCCGAGGAGGGACCGCCCGACATGGGTGCAGCAGCCGGCATGGACCAGCCGAGGTCGTTGGGATTTCCTCCGCGCCGACGGGTGCTCCCGCCCCGCAGGGACGAGCGAGACGGGGCGCGTGAAATGGACCTGCTGGGCCCGGCGCCTCTGTTGACGGCGAGCCCGACGCAGAGCTCGGGGGCCCCGAAACCGTGCGGCGACGGACCGCACAGGGCCCTCGAGCCTCCAAAAGACCTCACCGCGCGGTCCGTCACGGCACGACTCATGGGGCCTCGGAGGCCCCGGCCGCCCGGGACACGTCCGCGGAGAGCTACCGGAGTCCCAGAACCGTGAGGCGACCCTCACCCCTTCACTGGCTCACCAAGCGACGTGGCCACCACTAGAAGAAGAACAAAAACAACATAAGCCTAAACTTTCGACGCTCCGCGCGGATTTCTTGGATCTGCGCTGAACCCTCCTCCCTGGCGCGCGGAACGCGCCAGGGGCGGCGCCACAGGCGCTGCCGGCGGGGCCCCAGCGCGGATCCAAGACATCCGCGCGGACCTTCGAATCTTTCTGTTTATGTCATTGTTCGTTCCCCGTTCCCCTACTCACCCCTCCACTGGCTCACCGCGCGACGTGGAAACTACACCGTCTGGGGGCCCTCGAAGAGCAAGGGGCTGCGGGTGTCTGGCGCTGGACACGCGTGGGCGCTGTGGCAGGGCATGGGAGGCTCCGCGAGGGCGAGGCACGCTTCCAGGAACAAAGACGCGCGCAGCAGTGCAGCCATCGCATCGGCCCATCCAAGGTCCGTGCATCCTCAGAAGAATAACAAACGCCACAAACATAAGCTTTTGGCGCTCCGCGCGGACGTCTTGGATCTGGCCTGGACCCCCCTCCCCGGCGCGCCGAGCGCGCCAGGGGCGGCGCCGGAGGCGCCGCCGGGGGGGGCCAGCGAAGATCCAAGAAGTCCGAAGGAGCGCCAAAGTTTGTGTTTATGGCGTGTTTTCTTCTTCGAATCCTTGCCCTGTGTTATTTTGCTGTTCACACTGGTGCTAGGGAACAAGATCGGGCAAGAAACCTTGGGCGGCCCTCTGGGAAGTACCTGGCCCAAAGCTGAGGCAACCCTGCGGAAGGCTCAGACCACTCCCGAGCCAGAAGTGAGTTGACGAATCCACTGTCTTACGAGATGCTCAAGAAACGCTGGGTCAACACATCTACAGGAGGTACCCTGACCTTTTGCCAGACTGCGCGCTCACTGCCAGCCTCAGAAATGTGCCTTGTGGTCTCGGCGGTGGTGGCCCGCACGGATGCCGTGTTCGCAAGAGGTGGAGGGCTGACCGCGGCCCTAAGAGGCAGCTGAGGTAGGAAGGGGACAGCAGCAGCTGGAGGATGCGTACTAGCTCGCGTGTCCAAGTGCCTATGTCATGTGGTGCTCGCCGTCGAAGACCTGCATGGGCGGTGATCCCGTGGGGTTCCACCGTCTGCTGCTGCTCCTCTCCCCCCCCCTCAAGATGCCGGAGGGCGGATTGGCACTTCAATAATGGTTACAGTGGTTGTCCTACCTCCTCCGCTGCCTCTGTGCCTCCCGCACTGCCGCATCCCTCATCTTGGCGGCGTGCACAAGGGGGTGCTTCTTAGAACGAGGCGGCTTCTTAGAAGGCGCCGGCCCTACATTTACAGACAAGGCCCGCGCCCTATAGGAAGCATGGGTGCCTCTAAGAAGCCTTCCCCCCTCCCCCTGCCCCCCTTCTGCGCGTGAGCGATCATCCCCCATCCCTCATCCTTTCAGGCACCGACGGCAAGCGTTTGCTGGCGCGGCCGGTGCTCGACGATCGACGAGACGAAGAGGGGGGGGTACAATCACTCCTCCCGCTCTCCCACCCCCGCCCTGACCCGAGGTTCTCGTGCTTGCAGCACCAGAGCGCCTTGGCGAGGACCCACTCGTCCTCCCAGCTGGCGAGCCTCCCACGGGGGGGCGCAGTGGGCTCCAGGAGAACATAAGGAAGGAGGGACCCAGACCCCCTCGCGTTGTGAACAAAAAACACGACGGGAGGTATTCGTTGCGATTTTTGGCCTCTGGGGGCACTTACGGTCAAAAAACAACTATGAAAACTTGTCCTGGGGAAGGGATCCAGACCTCTGGGGGTCGACGTTGTGAAAAAGCACCACGCCGGAGGTCTGGGGATGGGGAGGAGCATGGAAGCTCCAGTTGGAGAGGGGGAGGCCCCAGGATCCAAGTTGCCACCGAAGATATCGCATGCAAGGTGGGGGATCGAGACCAGCGCCCGCGTCACTCCGCTCGTTGGCCGCCAACGGGGAGCAGACCTTGGGTGACACAGGCGAGCGGGCAGGAGCACAGGCAATGCAAACGACGAGATGATTTTCGAGCACTGCCGTTTAAGGCCGCACCTTCGACCTTTCACAAGTGCTTCGATGATCAACTCCACGCCGCGCCCCCCGATATCTCGGTTTCCCGTTGTCGGCGTTGGTGGCAACCGGATGCACCCTGCAAGCTGGCGGCGGCCGTCACCGGGGCCGCGACCCACACGCCGCGAGAGGCAGCAGAGACACGGGCGCAGAGGAGGCCGCGCACCTCTGGGCGGGGTGCGCTGAGGCGCAGGCCGGGCCAAGCGGACGTCGCGCGCCGCTGCTTCGCAGCGTGCGGCCATCGTCCTTCGGCGGTGGACAAACCTCCCTTTAGTAGACCTCCCCTTCGTGAAAACGGCCTGGGACCGAAACCGACGGACCTGGACCCCCAAAAATGACGGCCGCGACGCCCTCCCGCGAACCGAAAACGGCCAATTCCTTAATCGACGTGTCAGGGTAGGAGGTCTGTCCACCCCCGAGTCCTCCGGTTCCCGCGGGACGCCCCCCCGGAGCGTGACAGCCTCGCGGGCAGGGCGGCGAGGCGCGCTTGGCGCGGTCGGCCCTCGCGCCACTCCGGCCGCAGGGGGCAGTCGCGCTGCGCCTGCGCCGTCGCGGCCCAGCTGGATGCCACGGCAGATGGTCACGCGGCGCGCGGGTGCCGGCGCCCCCTGGTGCCACAGGAGAATGAGGGAAAAGAGAGAGGAGGTCGCCAGAGGGTGTGCACACGGCACACGGGGGGAGGAGGGAGAAGAAAAAAGGAGGAGGAGGAGGTGGAGGTGGAGAAGGAGGAGGAGATGGAGGAGGAGGAGGAGGAGGAGGAGGAGGAGGATGGATGATGATGATGATGATGATGATGATGATGATGATGATGATGATGATGATGATGATGATGATGATGATGATGATGATGATGATGATGATGATGATGATGATGATGATGATGATGATGATGATGATGATGATGATGATGATGAGGATGAGGATGATGACGATGACGATGACGATGACGATGATGATGATGATGTTGATGATGATGATGATGATGATGATGATGATGAGGAGGAGGAGGAGGCGGAGCGTTGGCGGCTGGAGGCGCAGTCTGTCTCGCCGCACTCGCCCCCGCCTGCCTCATGTCCTGAAGCACAGCAAGACCTTGCAGGTACCTTCCGAAGAGCCGATGGCGAGAGATCGCTTTTCGGCCCCTCGATAGTCGAAGTCGAATTACATATCGGAGCCGCTGAGCCCTGCGTCGAACCAGCAGCAGCGGACGATGGGGTGGCCGACGGGCCGCGCGTGGATCTGGAAGAGGAGCTGCTCGACGATGAGCGGTCGGAGGATGAAGTGGCCGAGGAGCTGTTAGCAGAGGACGCGGCCGATGGAGTCGACATACATTGACTCAATTGACGATCAGTCAGCGTAGCCTGCTGCAGCACGCCAAGAGCCAGCAGCTGCCCCAGAGCTCCTCGCAAAAGGCAGACGCAACGCCGTCCACGCAGTTTCATTGAGAGCATGCGCCTCAGGATAGCTCGGAGCCCGCGCAAACCGATGGCACACCAGTCGATAGAGATGGAGCATGGCTACAATGAATGCAGCGGACCCTGTCCGACATAGTCGGCCATGCGGTGTAGCAGGGAGGTTGACTTTCAAGACCAGCGCAGCAAAGTGGTGGAGCCTCCCACACTCAAGTACATAATGGGCAACTGAGTCTCGACCTTCAAGACATCTGTAAGCACAACCTGCGGCCCGCTGCATACGAGCGTTCATAATCCAGCCACCCAGCTTTGTCTTCAGAACAAGGAGCCTCCACGCTCGTGGGATGGTCACCATCAACGCTTGACTTGGGCAGTGTCGGTATCATGAATGTCGAAAGGCTTAGCAACTCGTCGTCGTATGAGCTGTCCAAGGTCAGATGGAAATACGGTTCGCTGCAGGACGGCCTGGAAGACAGCCTGCCGCTTCACACGCGGAGACCACTTAGACGCATGTGCTTTCGTCGCTCTCTCAGGGATCGAACTGATACGAAATCGAAGCTGACCGCCAAACAACTCAACGAGTGCAGGTGGAATCTCGATCCCTCTGCATCTCCACATGGATAGAGAAAATTGACCAGCACGTCTGAATCTCCCGTCCAATGGATACCCTGTCGCCGCCGCTTCCAGGAAACTCGCAAATAGTGGGGATCTCCCAAACGGCGAACCACACGTGGAAGGTTCCACCAGGTGGCAAATCCGTCGGATATCAGCACATCCCGCAGACTCGGTAGAAGCACTCTCCATGGCGGACATGTGATGAAACTCGTACGCATCCGAGCCGCCGCCGCCGCCATCGCATACATTGACTGGATCAGTTGGCCAGCAAACTCATACATATTGAAGCAATTACCATCCTGAGCATGCTGCTGGGTGATCGGAGCAAGCGCGCCACATGATGCTTCTGACTCTGACTCCGAGCCCAACTGTAAGGTACTAGCTGCGCCGCATTCGACATAACGGGGAGCACCCTCTCATGGTACGATTGTAGCAAGACGGAGTGCGGGGCGCCCGACGCAGTCTGATCCACCAGTCGGCTGTGCATCTTCGAGGATGATCCCTCCCATTGAGCAGCGATTGTGGCCCCAAGGCCAATCTGGAAGCCAAGATAAATACTCACGTCCGAGATCCCAAACCCTCGCCATTCCACTTGTGCCTCGTCCAGGGCCCTGCGCAAGCGCTGCTCAGCATCCTCATCCAGTTGTCGGTCCAATGAGATGGCCCAACACTTCGAACATTTCAAACACAGGTTCGCGAATATGAGCGACAGATTCGAGCCATCCTTCTATAGCCACGGTTATGAAGAACGATAGCACCTATATCATCTGCACACGCACGGGTAAACCCAGAGGAGGTCGAGGGCCCAAGAGGCTCACAATCAAATATTCCAAGCACGGATTGGCCGCGATGGCGTAAAGCGACCCACTCAATGGACATTATTGCAACACTCCCGAGAACATCATGTACATGTACGACAGGGTGCGACCACAGCGAAAGCGCATTGTCAGCGGATAAATACATGTCGGAAAGCACTCAACAACGGACGTGGCAAGCAAAGGCACTCCAGGCATATGAACATCCACTCTTGACTTGCCTAGGGGAATGCTTGTGCAAAGTCGGCAAAGTCGAAGGTGATGAGCGCAGGGGATTCATCAGGAGGAAGAGAAAGAGGAGGAGGAGGAGGAGGAGGAGGAGGAGGAGGAGGAGGAGCGAGCAGGAAGTATGAGGAGAGAGAGGGGGAACGATAGAGGAGGCGGGTTGGTTGGGCTTGCAAGGGGAATGCAGCGTGTCCAGGCTTGGTCTCGGGCCCTAATGGACCGTGCCCACCATCGCACTCCATAAAAGCAGGGAGGAAGTCAGGAGGCAAGAAAGGGGATGGGAGGGTTACGTAAGAGAAAGGCGATGACGACAAGCGGAAAAGGAAAGGAGGACGGGAGAGGAGGGACGAGAGCGGGAACATCGGGGTGCTGAGGCTTGGGGCGGGGCCCTGCGGCGGACGCAGTGGGACCATGAAGTGCGCTCCACTAGCCGCGAAGAGGGGGCCAAAGCCGGGCGCGGAGGCCGCAACCCGGCCCCCCGACCCGACCCGACCCTTCAGGTCGCATCGCCCGCGGGTGGGGACTATGGCGGGGAGGGAAGGGGGGACGAAACCTCCCAGGAGGTACGAGGGAGGGGGCAGAGGAGGAGGAGGAGGAGGCCCAGTGAAAACCCAAGAGTCATCAACGATGTGGGAGTAAACCCTCCCTCCAAGCTCCCTCTTCATAGGCCCCTACAACGGTTCATTTCCATTGAGGGAACTGCTTCGTTGGAAGACACCTGTTTGAAGACCCTGAAGCATGCCAAAACACTGTTCTCCAAATCTCAACGCCACGGATCAACCTGACTGTTGCGTCTTGACGACCCTGAATCGTGCCAACGCCACTCGGAGGACTTCAACACAAATAACCAACCTAATTGTTGCACCCGCATGATCCGGAATCCTTCCAAAACGCCGTTTCTGGAACGCTGATGGTGGGAACCCGTGAAACTCTTGAACATGTTGTGAACGAATGGTCGCGGCGCTCAGGCGAGAGCCACATTTTGAAAAGGAGCCGCCCTTAACCCGTGACACTCTTGCAATTTTGTACAACAAATGCGCGCCGGGCAAAGGCGAAAACCCATTTTGAAAACCACTCGCCCCGAATGCGTGAAACCCTTGCGTTTGCCGCGCTAAAGAGAGAACCACATTTTGAAAGCCACTCGCCCGCAATCCGTGAAACTCTTGCAAATGTTAAAAACGAATGTGCGCCGCGCTTAGGCGAGAACCCCATTCTGAAAACCAACCGCCTTCAATCCGTGAAACTTTTGCAAATGTTTAAAACAATTGTGCGCCGCGCTATGGCGAGAGCCGCATTTTGAAGAACACCCGCCCTCCATCTGTGAAGCTGCTGCCAAGTTTTAAGCTTCAGAATCATAAGTGGTGATTAAGTCTCAGGCGAAACGCCTTGCCCGTCCTAAAAACTGGCCTCGGGGTGTGACAGGCAGAAGTGATTTATAAGGAATGGAGAAGGAGGAGGAGGAGGAGGAGGAGGAGGAGGAGGAGGAGGAGGAGGAGGAGTAGCAGGAGGAGGAGGGCGGGGGGGGGGGGCCCGCGGAGTGTGGGAGAAGGGGGGCCAGTGGCACTCTCCCCGGCTCGACAGGCCCCCAGGAGCAGAGAGTGGCTCTCGGGCAGGGCCCCCAGAGGGCGACTGGCGACTGGCGCCAGCTCCACCGCTCTCGCCAGCAGGGCAGCTTGGGCCTACCCCGCCAGCTCCCGGGGTGGTCCAGGATGGCCCCCGCGCCGCCGCCTCCTGGGAGCCGGGCCCCCGCTCGCCTGCCACTGCCCAGAATGCTGCTCGTTGCGCTGCCGATTCGCTGCAAAAGGAGAGGACGTAGAACATTACCAGACCGTGCGACTGCCCCAGCCGGGCCCATGACTGACGACCTCTGCGGTGCCCAAAACTGAAGTCCCCACTCAGAGCCTTGCCGGGGAGCGTTGTGGTAGCATGGCTTCCCTGCCCTGCACTGTAGCCCCTGCGGCACGGAGAACCGGCGACCGCAGCCCGAGATGCAGGTGAGGAATTGACAGCCGAAGCGCAGCTCCTCCGCCTCCTCCTCCTCCTCCTCCTCCTCCTCCTCCTCCTCCTCCTCCCTCCTCCTCCTCCTCCTCCTCCTCCTCCTCCTCCTCCTCCTCCTCCTCCTCCTCCTCCTCCTCCTCCTCCTCCTCCTCGACAAGGAGGGAATCCGTTGCTGCACCATGGCCTTATGGTCGCTGCTGGAATGGGATGGCTTAGCTGCCACACCAGCCAGTCCGGAATGCCCCCGTGCACCAAGAGGGACAGCGATAGGGCGGCCCATCCGCATGGGGGTCTAGAACTGCCTCCCGATACGTGCCCCCACAGTGCCGCCCTCCGGCACTCCACGTCGACGACCTGCTCCTCCAAAGCCAGGGCGCCGTCACTCCAGAGCAGCACGCCCAATGATTGCTGCGCCCAGACCTCGTCGTCTGCGTCCGCCACTCAGGACTGCACCTGGCGCGGCCCACAACCATCTGCCGGAACGAAAGCCAACTCCCGCCCGCGAGCCGAAGGCCCCTGCGGCGACAGACAGCGGCAGTCCCTCCCGCGCGACCCGGCCTGGCGGCGCGGCCGCAGCCCCCGAGGCTGCCCTCAGCCTGGCGTGACACACGGCTCCCTCATCGACCTCCTCCTCCTCCTCCTCCTCCTTCTCCTCCTCTTTCCTCCTCCTTCTCCTCCTCCTTGGAGGCGCCCTGGGAGCCACACGGCGCCTCCCCGGGGGGGCCCGCTGGGGCCGAACCTCGGGCCAGAGCGTCGTCCTCGCACGGCCCGCATATGCGTGCCCTGCCGGCTCGAGCAGCCCCAGCCACCGGTGGGGGTCCGATGCTGGCAATAGCACTGGCGTCCGCTTGACCTGGCCGAAGCCCGGAGGAGAGAGCAGGAGGGTTTTGAAGAGAGGAGGAGAAGGAGGGGAGAGGAGGAGGAGGAAGAGGAGGAGGAGGAGGAAGAGGAGGAGAAGGAGGAGGAGGAGGAGGAGGAGGAGGAGGCGGAGGATACGAGAAGAGGGGGGAAGGAAATCTGGAGGGACGGGCGCGATGAGGGAGGAGAGCGGAGGGGCGAAGCAGGAGGAAGGAGGGGGGAGGAAGATGGCTGGAAAGGGGGGAGCGCAGGTGGGACAAGGAGGGCTGAGCAGCATGGGGGAGCAGGAGAGGGAGGGATCGGGCGGCGGTGGAGGGTGACGGGAAGGAGGTCAGGGATCGGATGGGACACATCGCGTTCGTGGGGCCAAGACGCGCCAGCGTAAGTGCCCGAAGTGCATCCCTCCGCCCTTCGCACACCTCCCGCGCTCGGGACAGCGAGCGCGCGGCAGGCCGAGGCGGGGACCTGCCCGGGCTCGCTCCTCGCGCCAAACTGTCAAAGCTCCCGCGGCCAGAGCCGGCCTCTGCCAGCCTCGACCACGCCAGAGGCCACGGCGGGCTGGCCCTGCCAAGCAGCAGCGCGGGAAGGGGGATGAGGAGGCGGAGGCGGAGGGGAAGGAGGGAGAGGAGGGGGAGGGAGATGAGGAGTAGGAGGAAGAGGATGAGGATGAGGATGAGGATAAGGATGATAATGATGATGATGATGATGATGATGAGGAGGAGGAGGAGGAGGAGGAGGAGAAGGAGGAGGAGGAGGAGGAAGAAATAAGGGAATCGGATGAGGAGGAGAAGTACGGAGAAGGAGGGATGAGGGTAAGGGGAGAAGGAAGAGGGAGGAGGTGGAGAAGGCAGGAGGATCACGGTGCGAACCTGCCGAAATCTCGGCGATCAAGAATGCCTCAAGCTGCAGTCGGTGCGGCGTAGCTCGTCTTCTTCTCCTCCTGCTGCTCCTCCTCCATCCTCCGCCTCCCTCCGGCGGGAAATCCCGTCTGCGCACTGCGCTCCCGAGAGCCCGGGCGGTGGGACAGGACCCAAGCTGTGCCCTGCATCGCACAGCGTGCAGGCCGATTTCCAGCTTTGTTCTGGCTGGCGAATTTGCTGTATAGTCATAGCCAAGGAGGTCCCCCACAGAGCCCTTATCTTCATCATCTCTCTGCTCCGCTCTGTCCTCTTCCTCCTCCCCCTCCTCCACCTGCGGCTCCCACCCTCGAGGCCCGTCTTTGCAGTCGTACTTGCCGTCCCCGTCTGCCTCCTCGATCACAGGAAGCTTGTCTGGAGGCAGGTCTCCTACGCCGAGGGACTCTAGACACGTGGAAACCTCTTCCTTTCACCTTCCTCCCAATCATCCACCTCCACATCCCTCGTCACTTGTTCTTTCCCTTCGTCCTTGTCTCCCGCCTTCCTCATTCCTGATTCCTTCTCCTCCTCCTCCTCCTGCGTCGTCCAGCTGCCTGGCCTCCTGTGTCCTCCCCCTTCCTCGTCACATTCCCTCTCCTCCTCCTCCTCCTCCCTCCTCCTCCTCCTCCTCCTCCTCCTCCTGCTGCTCCTCCTCCTCCTCCCGCGTTTCCCTCATATCGTTCTTCCTCCATCCCTCGTTTTCCTGACTAGCTCTCAGACGTGTCAGTAGGGCAGGCCCGGCGATTCGCCCGACACTTCATCACTGCTCATGTCCACGAGGCTGGGCAACTACAACTGTTATAAGGGCGGCGGTTTGCTTTCAGAGCGGGGCTCGCGCCTGAGTGCCGCGCACAATACGTCTTACATGTTTACGACGGTCTAACCGATAGAGTTGGGATGTGTTTTCAAACTTGGGGTCCAACCCTCGTCCAGTGCACACTCGTCTTGCAGCAATTACAAGTGTGTGTGTGTGTCTGTGTGTGTTTGGGGGGGCCTTTCCAACATGGGCTCTGGCCTTAGCGTCGCGCACGGACGTCTAAAGAGCTCCGAGGATGAAATGTGATCGCTTTAAGAATGGTTGTGCCCCATCAGCGCCGCGCACGTTCGTCTGCAAGGTTGGGAGCAGCTACAACAGCTATAATATTGGGTGGGGGCAATTCTCACAATTCGGCTCTCGCTGTAGTGTCGCGCACACCCGTCCAGCAAGCTTGCAACGGCTGCACAGATGGAAGGCGACTCTTTCGTTTTATAGGGCTCTCGCCCTAGCGCCGCGCACAGTGATCGTAACAGTATGTACAGTGACAGGAATGGAGGACGGTTCCATTTCAACAGAAGGCTCTCGATCGAGATCTCTGGCATTCTGTGAACCAGAAGCACGGACTTACGTAGCAGCTGCACGGATGGAGGGCAGCTCCTGCAAAACATTGCTCGCGACTGAGTGGCAGGCCCATGCGGCTCTGGTCGTTCAAGTGGACGTTTCTTGTACTGAGCGGGAGAGTTGGGGCGGGAGGGTGTAGTGCAGCATCGCTGCTCCATCTTGGGTTTCCTCTGGTCTGCCCTCCTTATCCCCCTCCTCCCACTCAGCCACCGTGGGGGGGGGGCCATCTTCCAGTCGCATAAATATAGCGCAAGACAGGTCGCACATGGCAGCATGCTCTATCGAGTTTCGGCAGTGTGGCCACTTGATGACATTCGACCCCATATCGCTCCGCCGACACCACCTACTGCTCCTCCTCCCTCCCTCCTCCCTCCCCCCCTCCTCCTCCCCCTCCTCCGCTACTCCCGTCCCGTCCTGGGCCCTAGGCCAGTGTGGTCGGAGCACGGTGAACCCAAAGCCCCGCGTTGAACAACAGCAACAGCAACAACAACAACAACAACAACAACAACAACAACAACAACAACAACAACAGCAATAGCAACAGCAACAGCAACAGCAGCAACAACGACAACAGCAACAGCAACAGCAACAGCAACAACAACAACAACAACAACAACAACAACAACAACAATAGCAACATCAACAAAAACAAAAACAACAACATCATCAACAACAACAGCGACAGCAACAGCAACAGCAACAGCAACAACAACAACAAACACAACAACAACAGCAACATCAACAACAACGTCAACAACAACAACAACAACAACATCATCAGCAACAACAACATCAACAACAGCACTAACAACAATAACAACAATAACAACAATACCAACAAGAACAACACTAACAACAATAACAACAATAACAACAACCAACTACAACCTCCCGTCCCCTCCTCAGGCGGAGGGCGGGAAGGCTCGGGCGGGAGGGCGGGACCCGCACACGCTCCTCGCCGCCAGGCCTGACCGCGCGGGGCCGCCACTCGCTGCCTGCGCACGCACAGCATCGACCCTGAACGACCGACGCCCTCGTCCGCGAGGAGAACGGCGAAGAGCGCCCACGGCGAGACCTCCGGGCGGGTTCGCTGCCTTCCCAGCGTCCGGGATGCTTTTTCCGGCGGCTGCGCCTCCACGACGAGCAGAGGGACGCAGAGCCTTCGCTGGGTGCCCGGGGGAGCTGCGTCCCGCGATGAGGCCACCGAGCCTCCCCAGACCTCCAGCGCATGGACCGGCGGCAGCGACCCGGCACGAGAGAGGGGCCAGGCCCAGGCGGCTGTGGCGGCCCGTCCTGGCCCGCCAGGCCGAACCGGCGCCGGGCCGCGCGGGCGCGGGCGTTGCCCGCTCCTCCTCCTCCCTCCTCCTCCTCCTCCTCCTCCTCCTCCTCCTCCTCCTCCTCCTCCTCCTCCTCCTCCTCCTCCTCCTCCTCCTCCTCCTCCTCCTCCTCCTCCTCCCTCCTCCTCCTCCTCCTCCCCCTCTCCCCTCCCCCTCCTCCTTTGACGCTGCTGAGGCGTTTGATTTTCGGCTGCGTCTGTTTCACCTCGGCGCAGGAACAAAAACACGACGGTAGGTAATTCGTTATTTTCGGCCTCCTGGAGCCCTTCCTGGGCCTCGGGAGCAAAGAACTCTGGATGAGCAACGGGCCCCGGGGAATGCGCCGAGACCTCCTGGGGGGTCGGCGCGATGAAAAAAAAATGACGTCAGGGGTCTGGGTCGCCCCTGCCCTTGGAGAGAGACACTTCGGTTAGGTCGGGCATGTCCTCCTTCAGGCGGATTGTGGGCGAAAATTTTTTTAAAAAAAAACCCTAACAAAAATCCAAAGTAATCCAAACATCGTTCCCAGACTATTCTCTAACAATGTCCCCCCTGTAGAGGGACATGCCCGACTTACACTTACGGTGAGGGCAGAACTTATGACGAATCCAGGGTCTGGAAGCCCGCGGAAGTCCAACGGACCCCTGGCTCTGGGGATCACCGCCGCCCTCATCGGACAACGAGCCCTTGAGGGTCTGAAGCATCGTGAGCACACCCCTTACCGAACGCCTCCACCGCATCGTGTTTAGAGGGCAAACAAAATTCAACGCCATAATAACCACCCCGACAAGCGAAGCCGTTTAGTAGACGCACCCAAAAAGGAATCGAACACGGCTCGAGGCCAGCAGCGTTTTTCGCTCTCGTTTTGATTTCGCTCCCCGTCGTTGTGTCTTCGCTCTGCCGATGCTGCGAAAGGGGGTCAAAACGCACAAGGCCCAGGAAATCGCCCAAACACCATGCATTAGCTTGCGCGCTGCACCACTCCCAGGGAGGCCCGCCGTCCCGAGAGAGAAACCGCGACGTAGGTCAGGGCTCCCCGCGCAGATGTTTGTGGGAGGGCTTTGCAGTGCAATGTGTAGGCCCCAGACGCTCCCAAGGGTCGGTTGGTCGGTCATCCGGAGCCGTTTCCTTCGCACAGGAAACCACTCCAGAAACGTCATCCCGAGTCGTTTCCGTTGCCGGACCCAAGAAGGGTCATGACGGTTCTTGGGCTGGGCACGGGCGCCTGGGGGGCGGCGACTGCCACACAGCCTTTCGCTGTGATCTCTCACAGCGCGTCAACGCATGGGTATTTGCGACCTGCTCCGCCCTCTGCGTCTCAAGTTGCAGCCGGGCGCGGCGCGCCCGAGCTTGGCACCCAGACCCACATTACAGTCAAGCTACAGGCTGTGCCATGAGGAGCGCTACATTGGGAACGGGGCCTCTATATGGTCCCCAAAAAAACGCCTGGGCGCACGAGGAGTGTCAGAGGAACAGCACTGGAAGGACCGAATAAAGAGCGAGCCCCTTTCCGAAAGCAAACTGTTCCTTATCTCAGATTCTTGCATGTAGTGCAAATCTCGCGCACTCTCATTATAAGGCTCTAGCGTGTGGACCCCGCGAGCAAGTTCGACCGATCTGATCACCACCGCACCGAAGTCACGGCAAGCTGTCTGACTTATCGGATCGACGGTCGAGTCCAGGCGCGCTTCGGCGACGGAGCTGTGACCAACCATCGATGCACCGATCGGCAGAAACGTTCTGTTTCTGCTGATTTGACTCTTCTGGGATCGGTACCCGCTTCAAGCCCACCCGTCGGTATGCCGCCTCGCTCGGCACATTGCGCTTACCAAGGGAGCCCTGCGCAAATGAACGCGAACTTCTTTCAAGAGCGGACAAAAGGGCGTCCAACACCACGGGTGGGAAGGTTTTGTAATCTCTGGGTGTACTCCCCATCCCTCCTGCTTCCAGGGTGCATCGCGATGCCTGCAGTCTGCCATGCGCGGAAGAGCGCGCCCCCTCCAGCCCGCGAGATTCGACGTCGTGAAAAATCACCGCGCGGCGGGAAATCACGACCCGATCGCATGTCCAGAGATCCAACGCATTGCTAAAAATCCGCCGACCCCTTGTGGGTCTCCAGGCGTGTGAAAGTCCCCCCCCCATAATCCCACCCAGGGACCCCAAACCGGCAATTCGACCCCGACCCCAGGCCCGGCGGGACCCCGGACCGAACGCGCCACAGGGCTCCAAAACTCGTCAAACAGGTACCAAGACTCGCCAAGAAGGTACCAAAACGCTCCCCGGACGGCCCCCGAGACCACGATTCGCCGACATAGCGCCCCCAGACGCCCACGATGGCCTCCAAGCGGTCTCCGAAGCTGCCAGCACGCCCCGAAAAGGCCCCCAAGATGCGCCCCGATAGGGTCGCAGGACATAGAAATCAGCCCATTTCCTTCGAAAGCCACGCACTACTCCGCACGCTCGCCTACTCGGCAATCACAACGTGCACAACAGGCGAATAAACCTTCAACATCGCTCCCAGATTGCCAAAAAGGCCCCAAAGCAGGGTCGCTGAGGGTCCAACGACAGCCCACGAAACCCCCAAGGCAGCCCAAGAGGGCCCCCAGACGGCTCCAACACGGAGTCCACAGGGCACCTTTTCGAGCCTTCGACTCCAAGACGCGCCCAACCTGCTCCAAGAACACCCCAAAAGGGCCTGCGGGACCTCCCAGAAAACCTCCGAGGCTTCCAAGAAGCCACGAGGAAGTCCCCAAGAGGCCCCAATCCTACCTGCAAGACGACCCCGTTATAGGCCTCGCACGAGATCTTCTTCACCATCCGTGTGGCCGAGTACCTGTATACCGCGCAAGGTGGCGGGATACGCCGCGTCCCTTTCGACAGCGACACGTCCAGTTTTGGACCGCGGCATGCCGTCTGTGGGCGCGGGTGTTGACAAGTATTTTCCCCAAATCGTCACTCCTCCTTCTCCCCCTCCTCCGATGACCCTCCTCCGCCTCTCTCCCATCCTCCCCCTCTTCCTCCTCCTCCTCCTCCTCCGGTTTCTCCTGTTTGGTACCATGTCACCATCTCCGCGTCTCATCAGAAACACCATCACAACCAGCACCATCATTGCCATTACCCGCGCCATGACCACCGCCATTACCATCACCACCACCACGGATCACCATCACCACCGCCACGGATCACTGCCTTGCCGCGTGTCTGGGCACATGTGATGCAATCCGCATCCGCCAACCCCACACGGGGCCTCCAGACGTGTAAGATTCGTCCCGTGAACGGTCCCACATGCCCCCAGACTCGCTCGGGGATGGCCCCGAAGAGCCTCGAGCCCGCCCACCCAAAGAAACAATACAGCACAAGTACGCGCCAGGACAGCAACACGACATCCCCAAGACGATCAAGGGGTCGGCGGATGTGGCGTAAGCCTATAGAATCAAGGCGGCGGTTTTGTCATTCTCGGACTCTAGAAGCCCTCGCCGGGCCCCGGGACCGTCAAAAAACTACTCAGGATGAAAAACCGGCCCTGGGGAAAGGGCCGTGACTTCCCTGGACCCCGTATGGAAAAAAACACGGCATCGGATCTCTGGACGGGATCGGGCCGCCACGGCCTTGTCCTCCCAGGAGGCCATCTGCAGGGCCTCGCGGCGGCCAGACGACGACGGCGACGACGACGACGACGACGACGACGACGACGACGACGACAGCGACAACGACGACGACGACGACGACGACGACGACAGCGACAACGACGACGACGACGACGACGACGACGACGACGACGACGGGATCTCTATCCAAGAGGGCCATGGACCCACAAAGCACGGAGCGAGAGGGCCTGCCGCGAGCTGCTCACGACCCCTCCCATCGGAACCAGAAGGACACTCAGAAAAGCCTCGATCCTCACGACCAGCGCCCTCAACAAAAGCCTCCTCGACGGTCGCAGTTTCCTCGCGGCCGCGAATCGGGCGGCGAGCCGCGCGGGGCGGCGTCTTCGGGGGCGGGCGCTGCGTCTCCTGTCTCCTCGACCGGCTCGAAGAGCAGGTCCTGGCGCGCCAGGGGGCACTGCTGGCCATCGCTCGGACGTCCACTCCCTGTGCATTTTTCGGTTTCGTGCGTGGCTTTTTCGCCAAATGATCAAGGATGCTCCTCGATGGTCCTCGCCGAAGGAAACATGCACACGTCCGAGCGATGCCAAGACTGAGGATGCGCGGTAGAAGGGTGTAGACCACTCGGACGCCCGAGGCGAGGCTCGTTCGGCGGCGCGCGGCCCACGACAGGGGCCTAGGCCAGGCCCAAGCAGCAAAAGGATGCAAGAGGGCACCCCGGGACAGATGATCGTGTTCGCTCCTGCTCTGCGCGCCGACTGCATGACGGGGCTCGAGTTAAGCGGTGTTTTCCGTCTTCGCTTTGTTCTCGTCATTCCTAGCTCTGTCTCCGCTCCACACTTGCTGCAAGACGAAGTCAAAAGGAAAACGGTCCACGAAATTGCCAAAACACCGTTTCGCTCGAGCCCTGCTGCATGATCCTCTTCCTCCCCCCACGCGGGCAGAGCACCCCGCAGGCAGCCGAATGCCGCTCACAGCCCTGGCGCGTCGATCGCCCAGGAGAGTTCGGAGCGACCCTGCATGCGGCCATATGCTGCAAGCGGCTATAGCACTCAGACTCACCAGCGACCTTCGGCGACCCTTCCATGCCTTGTCGGGCAGGGGGTGATGAGGAAGGTGAACAAACACTGATAATGATATTCTTCTGGGGATAACAAACGTTCGGGTTCCAGTCGGGACGATGATTTGTTTCCTGGAGATATCGATGTTAAGATGTCTGGATGGCGGTTTTCCGTAGACATCCTCACACTTAGAGCTACGACCGGACCTTTCGAGGGGATAATCAAATCCCGCCTCCCCGCCTGCTGTTTCAATTGAACCATATTCAATCCCGTGGAAAAAAGAAATACAAAGGGAAAAGGGGGGATGCTGTATCATCTGGGGGATGCGGTTATGAGGAGGTCTGCCTTGAGAGGACAGCGGCAAGGGCGGGTTGGCATTGCTGGGTTCCTGCGTTGGCGTCGCGTGCCCCGTCGTGACCTCGGGGGAGTAATCGTCCTTGGGCGAGCGGTCGTCCTGGTTCGAGCCGTGGTCCTCGGGAGCTGGGGATCTCTCTCTCTCTCTCGCTCTCGCGGTGGGTGCTACAGCAACAACAACAACAATCATGCTAAGACTGTTCACTCTTACTTGCACGCGTGTCTTGCATTCCGTATACCCAACCCTCGATGCCCGCCCACTGCGTCTTCGATCGCACCCCCTGTCGGGGGGAATACCTTCCTTGCCGGCCACTGACTGAAGTGCGAGGAAGTCTCGAGCCAGAACGCCGTTCTTGAGTTCGGGGGCCTCTCTGGCCAAGGTTTCTCGGAACTCATATAGAAAAATATCGAACGGGAACCCTTGACGCCGTGTCTGGGCCTCCACCAACTTGCTTCAATTACGAGGACTTCTCGAGTGAGAGAGCGCCACTCTTCAGTTCGAGGGACTCTCTGGCCAGGGCCTCTGGGAATACATCTTGTGGAAATATCGAACGAGAGCCCTTGTCGTCGTAGTTAGGCCTCCACCGATTTGACTGAATCGCGAGAAAGTCTAGAGTGAGAGCGCCGTTCCTGAGTTCGGGGGTCTTCCTGGTCAGGGGCTCTCGGAGAAAACAAATAAACCGTGGGGAATTATCGAGCAGGAGCCCTTGTCGTCCTTGCTGGGCTTCCGCCAGTTTGGCTGAATTGCAAGGAAGTCTCGAGCGAGAGCGCCAGTCTTGAGTTCGGGGCGCCTCTCTGGCCAGGGTGTCTTTGGGTAAATTATAAGGAAGTCCGCCGATCCGGCGTGTGAGTTTCTCAGAGCGTGGGCTTGAGCTCGCTCAAGGTTCGCTCTGGAAGGGGGGGGGTCGGGGGGGGACGCAAACGAAGAGAGAATTGACACGCGAGGGGTGGGGGAAAGGAGAGAGGGGGGGGACTCGCTCAAGCTTCGTTCTGCAAGGGGGGGGACGCCAACGACGAAAGAGTTGACAGGCGAGGGGGAGGGGGGAAAGGAGAGAGGGGGGGGGGTGCAGGAGAGAGGGGGAGGGGGGAAAGGAGAGAGGGAGGGGGGAAGGGAGGGGGGGGGGACAGGAGAGAGGAGGGGGGACAGGAGAGAGGGGGCGCGAGGGAGGGGGGAAAGGAGAGAAGGGGGGGGAGGGGGGGGGGGGGCAGGAGAGAGGAGGGGGGGGGGGAAAGGAGAGAGGGGGGAGAGGGGGAGGGGGGGAAAGGAGGAGGGGGAGGGGGGGGAGAGGGGGGGGAAGGGGGAAAGAAAAAGGGGGGGGGGACAGGAGAGGGGGATGGGGACAGGAGAGAGGGAGGGAGGGGGGGGACAGGAGAGAGGGGGGGGGGAGAGGGGGAGGGGTGGACAGGCAAGCTAGGTGCGCTCGCGTCATACCCCTCCCTCCCATCCCTTACCATGGCGCAGATCCCCTCTCTACTCGCACAGTCGGATGTCGAGCAGGGCGATGACCCCGAAAGGGTACGCGATGAATTGTAGAGCACGGCATGGCATGGCGTAGACGAGCGCCGCGAAGCGTAGTATCAACCTAGCATTGCTTTGCATGCCGTGGCATGGCGCGGGAAATGACGCCAGCGCTGCAGCGGGAGCACGAGTCGAAACGAGCGGAAGCGCGGAAATGAGGCCAGCGCTGCAGCGGGAGCACGATTCGGAACGAGCGGAAGCACGCCAGAATCGGCCCGGGAGGCTTCTTCCCGGGCGCCAGAAGCAGAAATTCAGCATTTTCAAAAGAAAGATGCGTATAGAATGGCCTTTTTTCGGCGCCGCCTCGGAACTCGATTTTCCGGCGCCGGCCCGAACCGGCTCCGGACCAGGCCCGGGCGCCGGCCCGGGCGCCGGCTCGGGCGTCTGGCCCGGGCGCCGGCTCTGGCGCCAGCCTGGGCGTCGGAATCGGCCCGGGAGGCCCCCCGGGCGCCGGAAGCAGAAATTGAGCATCTTCAAAAGAAAAATGCGTATAGAATAGCCTTTTTTCGGCGCCGCCTCGGAACTCGATTTTCCGGCGCCGGCCCGAACCTGCTCCGGACCAGGCCCGGGCGCCGGCCCGGTCGCCAGCTCGATCGGGCGTCTGGCCCGGGCGCCGGCTCTGGCGCCAGCCTGGGCGTCGGAATCGGCCCGGGAGGCCCCCCGGGCGCCGGAAGCAGAAATTGAGCATCTTCAAAAGAAAAATGCGTATAGAATAGCCTTTTTTCGGCGCCGCCTCGGAACTCGATTTTCCGGCGCCGGCCCGAACCTGCTCCGGACCAGGCCCGGGCGCCGGCCCGGGCGCCAGCTCGGGCGTCTGGCCCGGGCGCCGGCTCTGGCGCCAGCCTGGGCGTCGGAATCGGCCCGGGAGGCCCCCCGGGCGCCGGAAGCAGAAATTTAGCATTTTCAAAAGAAAAATGTGTATTAGAATTGCGTTTTTTTCGGCGCCGCCTCGGAACTTCATTTTCCGGGGGCGGGCGGAACCGGCTCCGGACCCGGCGGCCCGAGCGCCGGCCCGGGCGCCGGCTCGGGCGTGCAGCCCAGGCGCCGGCGGAAATGAGGCCAGCGCTGCAGCGGGAGCACGATTCGGAACGAGCGGGGCCCGAAAATGAGGCCGGCGCCTCAGCGAGAGAGCAGCATTTTGGAAAAAATGCGAGCGAAAACCCAACTCCGGGGAAACCTGTGTAAAAAACAGTGCGCGGGGGGGGGTCGGCTACTCCCATTCCGTCATCACGGGAAGAGGGAGAGTAGTATTCATATTGAATCATTGTAGAGAGGGGGGGGGGGGGAACAGGAGACAAAGGGGGGGGGGGAAAGGAGAGAAGGGGGGTGGGGGCAGGAGAGAGGGGGAGGGGGACAGGAGAGAGGAAGGGAGGTGGGGAGGGGGGGCCAGGATCATCACCATCTCCATCACCATCACCATCACCATCACCATCGTCACATCACCATCATCATCGTCCGGAGCGTCTCGGATCGGCGGCACTGGCCGGAGGCCACTACAATATCGAGCGGGGGCCGTTGTCGTTGTAGCCAGGCCTCCAAGGGCACATATTTACACTCAGGCCCGCGCTCGAGCGGGAGCCTCGTTTTCAGAACGTTGAGGCGAGAGCGCGTGGAACCGTTTCCAGAGATCAGCACGAATTATTTTCTAGAAGTGTATGTTCAACAACATCAGCAATATCAACAGCAACACCACCAACCACCACCACCACCACCACCACCAACAACAACAACAACAGCAACAGCAACAGCAACAGCAACAACAACAACAACAACAACAACAATCATTTTACCCGAACGCTCAGTGTTCTCCCCAGTGCCAGGGTTTTCATGCGACGCCAGCCAATACCCCCACTTCGTGGGGGGGCAATGCAAGCTCTACCAAACATCCACACGACTCTCGGGAACCACCCACACCCAGCTTCCCGCCCTATGACGTCAGGACACTTCACTTCGTGGCGCGCGGACGATCGTGGATACTACACTGGCGTGGAGTACACACCCGCAGAGGTTGATCACTTGTTTGGGCCCCGCATGTGCCCCGCATCGTGCATTTGTTGCGCATGACATACATAGTACAAAGACAGAGAGATAGAGAGAGAGAGAGAGAGAGAGAGAGCAAGACAGAGAGCCAGAGGAGAGAGAGATAGAAAGAGATTCGCAAGGGATTCTGGCCCCTGGCAGGCGCGCGAACCCCGTTGCAAGAGCGTGCGAAAGTAGCTCGCGCGAGCTCATGTAACATAAATGTTGGAAAACCATTGGTTTTTTTAGGATTCGGACAGCGCGCGCGGGTGGAAATTTTGAAAAGTCGTGCAGGTGTTTTTCGAGGACCTACGGTGCGATTCGTGTGATTTTATGATGCGCGGTGCTAAAATTCTTAAGAACCCAATGGTTTTTGGAGATTTCGGCGTGCGCGCGCGAAGAAAAAACGAATGTGTCCCGCATGGTATTATTTGACAGGGATGATGGCCCTGGCAGGTGCGCAACCGTTGTCGCAGAAGTTCGAAAAAGTTGCTCGCAAAAGCCCGTTTGACAGAATTGTTTAAAAAGTGTTGGTTTTCCTACGAATCCGCAAGAGCGCGCGGAAGGATTTTGACAATTTTTTCTTAAAAAACCATTGGGTTTTTGATGTTTTTATGTTAAAATCGCTACGAAACCTAAGGTTTTGGAAGGATTTCGTCTTGCGCGCACGAATGTCCACTTTACCTTATTTTTTGCAAGGGATTCTTGCAATTTGATCAAGTAAGAACAAGAATTTTCATTTTATAGTGTTTTTTGCAAGGGAAAACGGATTACAACAAAACAACCGGATCCGGACACATCTTTTCTGAGGCTTCCTCACGAAAATGATGAAAATGTAGCTGCGGCCTAGGCGCGGCGGGGGGGCGTGCACCAGGGGTCCCAACAATAATTATTCTTTAGAAGAAATAATGTTCAACAACAACAACAACAATCATTTAAGACTGGGGACACTCCGTTCTCACCAGTGCCAGGGTTTTCATAGGAGGCGGGCAATACCCCCACTTTGTGGGGGGGCCGGTTCAAGCTCTACCAAATTTCCAAACGACTCTTCGCCACCACCCACACCCAGCTTCCCGCCCTATGACGTTCGGACACTTCACTTCGTGGCATGCGGACGACCGTGGCTACTATTCAGGGCCCCGCGGCCGACGACGACGGCGTGCGCGCGCGAAGAAAAAACGAATGTGTCCCGCATGGTATTATTTGACAGGGATGATGGCCCTGGCAGGTGCGCAACCGTTGTCGCAGAAGTTCGAAAAAGTTGCTCGCAAAAGCCCGTTTGACAGAAATGTTTAAAAAGTGTTGGGTTTCCTACGAATCCGCAAGAGCGCGCGGGATGAGATTTTGACATTTTTTTGTTGAAAAACCATTAGTTTTTTGATGTTTTTATGTTAAAATCGCTCCGAACACTAAGCTTTTGGAAGGATTTCGTCTTGCGCGCGCGAATGTCCACTTTACCTTATTTTTTGCAAGGGATTCTTGAAATTTGATTATATTAGAACAAGAAATGTCATTTTATAGTGTTTTTTGCAAGGGAAAACGGATTACAACAAAACAACCGGATCTGGATCACATCGTTTTACCTGAGGCTTCCTCACGAAAATGATGAAAATGTAGCTGCGGCCTAGGCGGCGCAGGGGGGGCGTGCACCAGGGGGCCCAACAATAATTATTCTTTAGAATAAATAATGTTCAACAACAACAACAACAACAACAACAACAACAACAACAACAACAACAACAACAACAATCATTTTACCCGAACGCTCAGTGTTCTCACCAGTGCCAGGGTTTTCATGCGACGCGAGACAATACCCCCACTTCGTGGGGGGGCAGTTCAAGCTCTACCAAATATCCAAACGACTCTTCGCGACCACCCAAACCCAGCTTCCCGCCCTATGACGTTGGGACACTTCACTTCGTGGCGTGCGGACGACCGTGGCTACTACACTGGCGTGGGGTACACACCCACAGAACTTGGTCACTTATTCGGGGCGCGCGTGTGCCCAGCATCCTGCAATTGTGACATACAATACATGACACAGACAGACAGAGAGAGAGACAGAGAGCAGACAGAGAGAGAGACAGAGAGAGCGGAGTTGGTCACATTTTTGGGGCAAGTTCCTGAGATCGTCGTGTTTTTTGTTGGTCTTGCGCGCGCGAATGTCCACTTTACTTTTTTTTGCAAGGGAGTATTGAAATTTGATTATGTTAGAACAAGAAAAAGTAGCTCGCGCGAGCTCATGTAACATAAATGTTGAAAAACCATTGGTTTTGTGGGAGTCGGACAGCGCGCGCGGGATGAAATTTGGACATTTTTTTTTGAAAAACCATTGGGTTTTTGATGTTTTTATGTTGAAATCGTTACGAAACCTAAGGTTCTGGAAGGATTTCGTCTTGCGCGCGCGAATGTCCACTTTACCTTATTTTTTGCAAGGGATTATTGAAATTTGATTATGTTAGAACAAGAAAAAGTAGCTCGCGCGAGCTCATGTAACATAAATGTTGAAAAACCATTGGTTTTGTGGGATTCGGACAGCGCGCGCGGAAGGACATTTTGACAATTTTTTCTTGAAAAACCATTGGGTTTTTGATGTTTTTATGTTGAAATCGTTACGAAACCTAAGGTTCTGGAAGGATTTCGTCTTGCGCGCGCGAATGTCCACTTTACCTTATTTTTTGCAAGGGATTATTGAAATTTGATTATGTTAGAACAAGAAAAAGTAGCTCGCGCGAGCTCATGTAACATAAATGTTGAAAAACCATTGGTTTTGTGGGATTCGGACAGCGCGCGCGGAAGGACATTTTGACAATTTTTTCTTAAAAAACCATTGGGTTTTTGATGTTTTTATGTTAAAATCGTTACGAAACCTAAGGTTTTGGAAGGATTTCGTCTTGCGCGCACGAATGTCCACTTTACCTTATTTTTTGCAAGGGATTCTTGCAATTTGATCAAGTAAGAACAAGAATTTTCATTTTATAGTGTTTTTTACAAGGGAAAGCGGGATTACAACAAAACAACCGGATCCGGACACAATCGTTTTGCCTGAGACTTCCTCACGAAAATGATGAAAATGTAGCTGCGGCCTAGGCGCGGCGGGGGGGCCGTGCACCAGGGGTCCCAACAATAATTATTCTTTAGAAGAAATAATGTTCAACAACAACAACAACAACAACAACAACAACAACAACAACAACAACAACAACAACAACAACAACAACAACAACACCACCACCAACAACAACACGCGCGATGCTTCCATACGAAGCATGCGACCATCATGACAACAGTCTCCATCATGGGGTCTATAGCTGGGTCCGTTATTCCCATTCTCATACATCCCGCCCAATGAGGTCTTGCAAACACCTCCTCCGAGGAATTGCAATAGATCCCGCCTCGAAAACGCATGCCCGCGCCTTGCTGCGCCGATGCGAAACCGCCAGTGGAACCCCAGCCAAGGGTGAAGCACAAGGAAGTATCAAGCGACAGGATTGCCTCGATGGGGATGGGGGTTGTCGGCGGCGAGGCAAGGACTTGGCCCTGACTCGAGCATGGCCGCTGTTATTGCTGGGAGCTGCGCCAATGCTGAAGAGAGTAGGGCGCTAGTCCAGCGTAAAACAAAACGAAGTCTCGAGCGGGAACGCTGGTTTTGTTGGGACGGCGGTTGTCGGCGGCGAGGAGGAACACCGCCTTGAGTAAGAAGGGAGAAAGTCTCGACGGGGAACCGTGGCTTTGTCGGGACGGGGGTTTTTCGGCGGCGAGAAGGAGCACCGCCCCGAGGAAAAAAAGAGGAAGCCTCGAACGGGAGCGTTGTTCTTGCTGGGAGCGGCGCCAATTCAAAAGAGAGTAGGGCGCCAGTCCAGCGTGAAACGGGAGGAAGTCTCGGGCGGGAGCGCTGGCTTTGTCGGGACGGCGGTTTTCGGCGGCGAGAAGTAGCACCGCTTTGAGTAAAAAAGGAAGTCTCGAGAGGGAGCGGTTGTTGCTGGGCGGCGGCGCCAATGAGAGAAAGAGTAGCGCCCCTGTCCAAGGTAAAACGGGAGGACGTCTCGAGCGGGAGCGCTGGTTTTGCTGAGACGGCGGCTTTCGGCGGCGGGCAAGAGCACCGGCCCTGAGTAAAAAAGGAGGAAGTCTCGAACGGGAGCGTTGTTGTTGTTGGGGGGCCGGTTTTGGCGGTCGCCAGGGCGCCTGTAAGAGGTCCAACAATAATGATTGTTTAGTTATTGACATTCAACACCATTATGCGCTTCGCCGTTGGCGCAGGCCCAAGCCCCTTTCCGAACATGGCCTGCCAGGCCGCCCGAGCCTCGCGCCGCGTGAGCCGCGCTTGATTTCGCGCCCTCGCGCGGCCCCAGCACGGAGGCACCCCTCCGGCCCGGGCCGCGCCACGCGCGCTCTCGCCCATCGCCCCCGCCCCGCGCGGAGGCCCAGACCCCGCTCGGAGGCGCATCGCCCGCGCCCTGCTCGGCCAGGCTTGCTGAAGGGGCCCTGGGACACACAAATAAATACACACAAATAAAAAGATTCCCCATATTTTCGCATATTTTCTGGGTCTTTTGTCTTCCCGCCCAATTCCCATCTTTTCCCATATTTTCTGGGGAATCGACAATTATTCCCCTCCTGATTGACAGGGGCGGTCGCCTGCCGCTGACTCGCGCAACGGCCTCAGCGCGTTTCTGCGCGACCCTGGCCCCTGGCGCAAGGGGGGGGCTCGCACCCAGCAGCAGGGAGACGGGGGGGCGGAGGCAGGGAGAGGGACGAGAAGAGGGCGGTGCGGGAGCGAGAGGAGAGGGTGCTGAGGAGGGGGGTGGGGGGCGAGACGGGCGCAGCGAGGGGGGAGGGGGAAGAGGAGGAAGGGGACGGGGGGGAGGAAGGGGCGGGGGCGCGATGTGGCAGGAGGGGGTGGTGAGAGAGGGGCGGCGGGAGAGGAGGGCAGAAGACCGAGGGGGGTATAGGTGGAACTCATCCCCGGGCCTGGCGCCCATCTCCTCCACCTTCTGGTCCTCTCCTGCTCTCTCCTCCCTCCTCCCCCCCCGCCTGCATGTAGTTTTTTGTGTGTTGTAGTTCTCTGTGTGTGTGCGCGCCCCATCGCCGGTTCTCAGGCGGGCTGTCGTTCCCCATCTGGGCGATGAGAGACGCCCTCCTTGGGACCTCTGGCCGACACGCCTGGCCCCGGTGAGCACCTGGCCTAAGGTGGGTCTCGTGCTGGAGCAGTGGGCTCATGGGGGGGCTGCGGGAGGAGGAGAGAGGGGAGAGGACAGAAGAGGGACACCGAAAGGCCTGGGCCCAGAAGGGGAGGAGCCCCCCCCCAGCAGTGCCAGGGCACTGGGCGAGGCCCAGGCATGATGGCCAGGCGCGGGCGGGCGCTTGGGGGGAGGGGGGCACCATATAAAAGCTGGAGGGCAAGCCGGGCCAGTGCAGCACAGGGCTTCGGGGGCCCCGCGGGGGAGGACGAAGGAGGAGCGCTCGTGGGCGTGCCAATCGCCCCGCTGCACGAGAGGACCGCGCGAACGAAAGGCAGTGCAGTTGGTGCTCGGGGGCCCGACCCCCGGCGGTCATGGAACCACCCCGCTCTCGCGTGGGAGTGCACACCGGACGGAGCACGCGACTGCTCAGGATCAGCATCGGGCTCAGGATCCGTGGAGAGTGCTCTTGGGGGGTCTCCCAGGCAAAACACAGGCGTGAGACGAGGGAGGAGACGAGCGTAGAGTTATGTCGGGCGTGCCCCCTTACAGGGGGATGTTGGTTGAAACATGAAAAAACAGTCAAACAATACTCCAAGAATACCCCCAAAAAACTAAATGATACCGGAGAAAAAACCCAATCAGGGCTATAGGGCCAGGGGGCTATAGGGCTATTGAGCTATAGGGCTATGGAGCTATAGGGCTATGGAGATGTAGGGCTATAGGGCTTAGGTCTATAGGGCACCCCCGGGCACGCCCGGGCACCCGGGCACCTCCTGGCACCCCCCGGACACCCCCGGGCACCCGGGCGTGCAACGAACATCGGCGACAAACCTAACCGAACCATATGAATCCGCTAGGACCCCTACAGAGGCAAGCTCTGATTGGGGAACAAGTAATAGAGGCGGATTCTGACTTAAACGTAGAGGCGGAGGACGTCCCGCCTGCTACCGCTCGGGCTGGCGGTGGGCGCCCCAGTTCCCCGAACTCCGAGAGGGCGTCGCGGGCGCCGACGTCGCGCCACGCGGCAGGTGAGAAGAGGGAGGACGACGACGACGAGGAGGAGGAGGAGGAGGAGGAGGAGGAGGAGGAAGAGGAGGAAGCGACGACGAGGGGGAACCATCGTGATGGCGACGCGGGGGAGGGGCAGAGATCCTCGGGCTCCTCGCGCTCCTCGGGCTCCGCCTCGCCCTCGGAAGCCACGGCGTCGCCCTCGTTGGCCTCGTCGACCTCCTCGGGCTCCGCCTCGCCGTCCTCGGAGGCCACGGCGTCCTCCTCGCCGCTCTTCCCCTCGTCCTCACCTGGGCAGCGACACGGGCAGCCAGGATAGAGGGCCACATGCGAACCCTACCCCTGCCCCCCACGATTGCTGAGGGGGAGGGTGGGGTTCACCTCGCTCGGGAGCTCCTGAGCGAAGTGAACCCCGCCCTCCCCCTCAGAAATCGTAAGGGGTAGGGGTAGGGTTCGCACGTGGCCCCCTAAGGAGGGAGGAAGCGGGGGCCGCAGGGCGGAGAGGAGCGGGAGGCAGGGCAAAGGATGGGAGGACAGGGGAAGGCTGCAGAGCAGGAGCCGACGGCGCGTGAACGCGAAGAGAGCGCCCGAACACCATCAACTCTCGGCATTCCGCCTCGGATCGGCGCCGGACCCCCCTTCTTGACATGCCGCCTCGGATCGGCGCTGGACCCCCCTTCCTGGCGCGCCCCGCGTACAGTGGCCGCCGATCCAAGATATCTTCATGGATGTACGAGCGCCTGATGTTTATGCGTATTCCCTGCAAGTGCTGGACCCAGTATTCTCTTCTAGTTGTGTAACTGTCCCCCAGCACAATGCCGAGGTGGACCGGCGAACTTCCATCCGATAAAAACCAGGTGAAGGCCCATTCGGCAAGGAACACATGTATTTCGCGCGTGCCCGCTCGAGGAACATGTGCACCCCATCTCGGATTCTCGTTGCCTAATCGAGTCCGCAAGCCCCAGCGTCATGTATGAGGGATCGCGGCCCTGGATGCGCGGATCCTTAACAATTTGCGATGGATCGTGGTCCTGGGAGCGCGACTTCAATGCAATTTACAAAGGGACCGTGGCCTTGACAGCGCCAATCCAGCGTAATGCGCGAGGGATCGCGACCTTGAGCGCGCGGACCCAGCGCAATGTATAAGGATTTGCTGCTTCGGGTCCAGCGCTTGATTTTCAGGAAATGACAGAAAGTGGCTTGAAAATGCCTCCCGAACGCAAATCCCAATATGGAAAAATGTTGGTTTCTGCTCTGGACAGGGGGGGGGCCCTTTTCGGCAACCTCCGCGCGGTGCTTCGTGACCCTGGGAGCGCGGACGTACATAGTTTGAGAGGGATCGTGGCCTCGGGAGCGCGGAAGCAACGCAATTTACCAGGGATCGTAGCCTTGGGAGCGGGGGCGCAGCATAACTTACGAGGGACCGTGGCCCTCGGAGCGCGACCCCAGCGTCATTTACTATGGATCGTGGCCCTGTGAGTGCGAACGAGCCCAGCGTGTTGTACTAATGGAACGCGGCCCTGGGAGCGCGAATTCAATGAAAGTTAGGATGGATCGTGGCCTGGGGGCGCGGACACAACGAAATGCACTAGGGATCGTGACCCGAGGAGCGCGACACCAGTGTAATCTACGAGCGACCGTGGCCGTGGGAGCGTGCATGCAATTTAATGTACCAGGGATCGTAGCCCGGGGAGCGCGTACTCATTGTAAGTTCCTGGGCAGCGTAGCCTTCGGAGTGCGAACCCAGCGTAATGTACTAGGGATCGTGGTCCTGGGAGCGCAGATGCAGCGCAATTCACCAGGGATCGCTGCCCTGGTGGCGCGGACGTGGTGTAATTTGCGTGGGACCGTGGCCCTGGTGACTCGAACCTCGTGTAATCTAAAAAGAATCGTGGCCCTCAGAGCGCGACTCGACCGTGATTTACTTGGGATCGTTGCGCTGGGAGCGCGAACCCAGCGAAATGTACGGGGGATCGTTGCCATGGGAGCGCGGAGGCAGCGCAATTCACGAGGGATCGCGGCCCTGAGAGCGAGGGCGCAGCGCGATTTACGAGTGATTGCGGCCCTCGGAGCCCGGCCCCGCCGTGAGGTGTTCGTTTCTGGGTCCGCCGCGTGCGGCCCCTTTCTGGGTCTGCGGGGTTTGGGGGAGCGAGGGTCTGGGGGAGCGGGGGGAGTGGGGGGTCTGTCCTCTCCCCCTCCGCTCCTGTCTACCTTCTGCGTGCATTCGGGGTACCTTCGCTGATTTTGACGCGCGTACCTTCATCGGACCTTCGACGTACCTTGAATAACGTTTCGTGTGGAAACAAAACAGAAACCGCGTACCTTCAGCGCACCTTCGGCGTTACTTTAACGAGTGTGCCCGACGTGCCTTCAGAGTACCTTCGGCATACCTTCGGTACACCTGCCTAATCTACCTGGCACCGCGTGAATTTAAGATGCATCTTGGCACTGGGAGTGCAAATCCAGCGTAATTTCACGAGGGGTCGTGGCAATGTGAGCGCGGACGCTGCGTAATTTACAAAGGATCGTGGCCTTGGGAGAGCGGACGCAGCATCGCTTACTAGTGATCGTGGCACTGGGACTGCGGGCGCAGCGGAATTTGCAATGGATCGTAGCTCAGAGAGCGCGGACGCAGAGTAATGTACGAGGGATCGCGTAGCCCATGACATCTCGACTAACCGCATGCCGATGATAATAAAGGGACCCCCCCTTCAGTGTTTAGAGTTGATTATCGTCGCCATATACAAAATTCAATTTGGGCGGCGAGCGCTGAGGCCGAACTTCATTATCACCTCGAAACGCTATGTTGAGATAGCAACATCAAGCGATGTTGATATAGCAACATCAAGCGAAGCGATCACACTTTTTCAGGATGTGTCAAGCGAAACCAATAATTTTGGGAGGCAGACTCAAACGAAACGAGCAATGTTCTTATTATTATTCTACTTTCCTCTTCTTCTTTTATATTTCTATCTGTCCTCACGCTCGCCTGAACTTTTTTATCCCTGGGGTTGATTATCCATGGAAAATGAAGCACATGAGCTACCCTACACGAGCACTTACAAAATCAATTTTCATAAAGCGTTTGTAAATTAAAATTGATAGATTTGGAACTTTGGATTTTTCCTTTCTTCGTCCTCTTCTTATTCTCCTCTTCTTCCTCTTCTTTCTTATTATTCTTCTACTGGATGCTTCTTCTTTTATATTTCTCTCTGTCCCCACGCTCGCCTGAACTTTTTTATCTCTGGGGTTGATTATCCATGGAAATTGAGGCACATGAGCTACCCTACACGAGCACTTACAAAAAACAATTTTCATGAGAGATAAGCCATTGTTGAGGATATTTCTATGAAAACTAAACGCCAAGGATGTCTCAAAACGTGCTCGGCTTGGTCTCCTCTTGATCATCTCTTACTTCGAGATTATGCTGAGGTCTGCTGGGCTACTTTTATTATCTCTCCCTGAACCCCGAACTTTCTTATCCCCTAGTGTTTATTCTCACGGGCATGAGGTTAGTGATGGGGCGCGGAGATCCTAGGAGGCTCCAGGTGATCCGCGGCGCGTCCCTTGGTCCGTCTCCGACGCGTCCCGTGCCGCGTCTCGTGGCACGGTCCCTGACGCGTCCCCTAGCACGTCCCCTGGCGCGTCGCCTAGCACGTTCCCTGGCACGTTCCGTGGCGCGTCCTTTGGGGCGTCCCCCTGGCACGTCGCGCGGCGCGTCCCCTGGCACGTCCCAAGGCACGTCCACTGGCACGTTCCGTGGCGCGTCCTCTTGGCACGTCCCGCGATGCGTGCCCATGGCACGTCCCCAGGCACATCCCCTGGCGCGTCCCTTGGGACGTTACCCCGTGCGTCCCCCTGGCATGTCCCCTGGCGCGTCCCGTGGCATGTCCCTTGGCACGTTACCGTGCGGCACGGCGCAGCGCAACGCAGCACAACACAGCCCCTGGCTCAGTATGATCACCATCGGTATCTTCAGCATTGCCACTGCCCGTCGCCCACTTGAGGCCCTTTTGACAGATTGCCGTGCCTCGCAGACCTAAATTCCGCTCCGGCTTCGTGGGTCGATCATGTCATCATTCGAGAGGTTGCGGGGCAGGAGGGCGAGCCCACGCCAATCCCCCCACTCCTGCTCTTGAGCACCCGGCGGGCGGCCCCAGCCTCTGGGCCTCTGCGGGCTGTGCCTGTGCGCCGTGCGGCTGGGCCTCCGCCTGCCGATCGGCAGCGTGGAGCGGCTGCGAGCCCAACTGGAGGCCACATAAATGGCCCGCTGCAGGGGCCCTGAACGCCCCACCCCACCCCAGCAGACATACCTACAGCCGGGGCGTTGACCTAAGGAACCCTAAATAAGGAACGAGGCCCCTTTTTCCCATACGTGAAACTTCGATTTCCCATCGAAACCCTAAGCAAAACCAAAGGCGAACTACAAAACAACTAAGGAACACCGAGCCCCTCCCCAACGAAAAGGGTTCCTTCTTCAGCGCCCCGACTGTGCCTATCCTGGAAGGTCGACTCGTACTTCCGCTGGCGTCCCACGGCCCTCCGCCGGCGGAGTCACCCCAGCAGCCTTCCCCCTCGTTCCAGAGACGGTCTCCAAGGCGAGGCCATCTCTGGCACGCCCTGCACGGGGCCAGAGGCACATGGGGTCGGGAGAATCGCACCGCATCGCCGATGCATCAGCTGTGCACGAGCAACCTGGAGATGGAGGTAACCAGGCTCCAGATCGCCCCGCGGCGCCGATGCCGCGCGATCCCCGCCATCGACTGCAGCCACACTTGGGCGGCCTGGACCAACAATCTGGGCGCAAGCGGTAGGCGTCGGGATCGATATTTCTAGACACATGGCAGAGCTCAAGACTTACCCAGACACAAACTAGATTGTGTCGAGACGTGGGGCCGGACAAATTGTTTACGGTCCTTGCGTCGGAAGACAACCCTCAAGTGCCGAAAAGGGGCGGTAGGGGAACGACCGTCCAAGCTTGTTCGAACCACAGGATGTTTGGGTCCTGGGAGGTCCCCAGAAGTGTCTGGAGGCCTTCGGGAGGTCCCTGGAGGCGTCTACTACCCCAAAGAAAACCGAAACCAACAGACCGCCCTCCTGATTCCCAACTCCACCGGCACTCCGATTCCTCACTTCGTCGGCGATCACCACTGGTAGTCGCGGGTGCTGGCGTGGCCCACGGGTCTGTCCGCGGCCACTCGTCGTTGCCGTCGGCATACCACTTCTCCCTGGAAGCCCTCTTGCTGTAATCGCCCCTTCCAGGGCATCCCCTCTCGGGCACCAGGAAGGGGCTGGGGAGAAAGGGAGAGGAGAGGGGGGGAATCGACGATCGACGCTCTGCCCCACAGATGCCAGACCCCCACTGGGCATCCTCCCGCCCCCGAGGAGCGGTGGGCGAGGAGCAGCCTTACGCACTAGGCCTGTGCCAGCTGTGCACGAGTGCGGGCAGTGCGTCTCGTGGGCGGGACTCTCCATCGCTGAGATGGCGCAATGGCCCCGCGGCCACGGATGGGAAGGAGGAAGAGAAGGGATCAGAGCAAATCCAAGATGCATCAACGATGCTGCAATACACCCTGACGCCCCGAGTCCCTTCCTCCGAAGTCTCCCCGAGTTCCTTCCTCCGAAGTCTCTGCAGACCTTCCTTGTAAGAAAGGCACCTCTGAAAGACCAGTACCCCATGGACCTGCCATTCAGGCGAGTGCCCCCGAGATGTACAGGAACTGCCTTGCACCCTCCTGTAGTCTTGTCATACAACTCACCGAGGTGTGTAACGACATCCCCTATGTGAAAAAGGACCGCACCATGCGTGCAACCGTTGCGCACGTTTGCACGTCTGGCCATTAAACATAACCGCCCTCCATCATGGTACCTGCTGCAAGTGTGTTAAGACGGATGCGCGCGGAGCTAAGGCGAGACGACTGGTGTTTTACCGTGGTGGTTGCTGCAAAATGTTAGGACGAATGTTAGAAGCTTTTGCAACGAACGTGCGCGGCATTAAGGCGACAGCGTACTTGGGACGCTTAGCGGAACAAGTGCAGCGCTACGCTCCATTGATTTGCCTTCGAATGCCTCTTTACGGCCGTCTCGAGAGAGGAAGCACCATGTCGAGATCCTCGCTGGAATTATAGTATCCGTTGTGCTTGTGCCGGCCTGTGTTGACCCAAAGGAGGGTGACGGACCGAAACGCGGACACCCTTGACTTCCCTCCTCTCAGTCCCCTCCCTCCCGGCTCCTGTTGAAGTCGCACGGGCCCTGGCCAAGCTCCCGGGGCCAGTCTGGATACTTCTGCTCGAGGGCGTCCAGGATGCTCCGGACGCGATCGCTGGTGGCGCCGTCCTTAGGGCACTTACGCTGCGTCAATAGACAAACTGTCACCTCACATCGACCTTCAACCTGCCTCACCCAGTTCGTCTTGCTCCACCTGACTTCAGCTCGCTTGACAACAACGTCGAAGGCACCTGACATCATCCCGCCTCGCCTCACTTCGCAGGTTGCCTAACCTCGCCTAACCACACGCATACCTTCATCCGCGCACACACACCACATCTTCGCATCTCTTTCTCATGTGACGTCAACCACATCCAGTCATCCCACCTCACCCTGCTCCACCTCGCATCCTCCCTGTCCTCACATCAGCCTCTCACCTCACCCCAAGCTGTCTCCCCTCACCTCGACGGGGTGCGCTCTGGCCAGCACTTCGCGACGGACCCAGCCGTGGCCGCGACCCAAACTTGAGGACTGAAAACGCCTCCTTCAACACAACGCCCAGCACTCCACCGGTGCGCGCGGCACTGCGTTCCGACTGCAACTTTCGGTACAATTAACCGACGTCCCAAATCTACCCAGCAACACACACGTCGATTGGCGAAACCGACGGGGCACTGCACAAGGCAACTGCGAATGCCACCAATGCAGGATCTGTCAATCGATCTGTGGGAATGGGCGTTCTCTCAACGCCTTGCAAAAAGGACCCCTGAAAGTCCAAAAATCCGGTGCTCTCAATCCCCCCTTCCTCCCGTCCCAGAAAATTGAATGTTTGCTTTGTTCGCTACAGGGAACTCCTGAACGTCCCGACTCTCTTTCCCCAGGGCTCGCTGTTCCTCCCGAGTCGCTCTTGACCGTCCAGAAGTCCGGCGAGGACACGTCCGACGCCGAAAACCGCGACAATAGCTCCGTGCTGCCTTGTGTCGCTGCGTCGGAGGTCTCGGGCCGCGACTCGACGGCCGCTGCGTGGCCCCACCGGGGAGTGGCGGCCGGGCGCGGGACCAGCGGGCCGGCCGGCGCGGGCCCGTGGCGGGGCTGAGGCGCCCTCGTCGAACTGGCGGTCCCAGAACGACGTGCACCTGTCGCGCCCTCCTCCCCCTGCGCCGAGGCGGGGGTGCGAAGGCACGGGGAGGACGGCGAGGGGAAGGACGGCGAAAAGGGAGGGGTGGAGAACGGGAGGAGGAGGAGGAGGAGGAGGAGGAGGAGGAGGAGGAGGAGGAGGAGGAGGAGGAGGAGGAGGAAGAGGTCGTCACAGAACGATGTGCACCTGTCGAGGGTGAGGGTGGAAAGAAGAGGAACGAGACGCCTCACGCGTCTCCTCCTCCTCCTCCTCCTCCTCCTCCTCCTCCGCCTCCTCCTCCGCATGGACACGCGCGGCCTCTTGGTGACGAGCTGGCGCTCGCGGGTCATGCGACTCCACGGGCATCCGAGACCGTGGGGCCTAGTGAGAGGGCCTCCAGGCGTGTTCATTATAACTGTAATTCGCCTTGTTTGCAGCACCCTGAGTCCAGCTACAGTCACATGCGGGACCGAGGTGCACGTTTTGGCACTGGTTGATATGAATGCTGCAGGTACTGACTTGCACCGCACGTATGTATGCAGAGCGCGTCATGTGATGCGAAGGCGTATAGGTGGCAGGCACGTGCAGCAGAAAGGAGCAAACCCGTTCCCAGGTTTTGAGTCCCTCTCGGCCAGAGGAATCTCCGAGGACCCTATAGAACTCCTGGATGTGCTGCCAGTCTCGGTCGAGGTCCAACATGAGGGCGAACAGCCAGGAGTCATCACAGGAGAGGTCTCTACAGATGGACCACTCTTGTACGGTGAGTTTGTCCCCCTTAGGCGTGCAGGGTGGAGCTTCGCCACCTTAGATGCCTCAGGGGAGAGCAGTGGTTTTCAGCTTTCAGCCCCCTGCCCATGCCTCTAAATAGGCAAGGGATATATCCGTCAGAGCTGTACGCTATCCTTCAGGTGCTGAGGGGCGCGAGGCCGCCCCTCAAAATCTATTGCGACTGCCAGGCAGCAGTAGACGGAACATCCAAGGGGGACGAGTGGTGCTCGTCCCCTGCCAGGGCACACAGCGTTCTCTGGCGAGAGTTTTGGTTTCTGGTCAACGATCTTGGAGGGCTGGGCCCCAGGACCGTCCAGATAATAAATCGTAAGGCCCAAGTCGCTCGAGCCCAGCGGCAAGAGTTTGGCGAGGGACCGTTCAAAGGCAACCGCTTCGCGGACGAATACGTGAAGGAGGGGGCTAATTTGTGCGCCCACCCGATCTGGCAGCGCCAGGCGTCTCAGCAGAAGCTTACCATGGTAGCAGAGCTGGAGTTTGCTGTCAGGCTCGGCGCTATGTCGCCCGAGGTCGTCGATACGATTTACGATGTCGAAGCGAGCAGCATCAGTGGACCTGTCCCGAGTCAGGCCGCCGAGTCGACTCCTGCTCCTCCTCTGATGCCTCCCCCCTCCCCGTCTGTGGGCCCCAGGGACCGTCATTCTCCCAGGGCCACAAGCAAGACTCAGAGCGGGCCGTCGGGCGCAGAAGCTATCGAATTCAAAGCCCGACAAGCACGCATCCTTAAAGCACAGGGGCAACGACACCACCTCGTGTTGTGCCCCGATGTTGTTTTCTACAGGCGATGCTCTTCCTACGCTCGGTGTAAGTGGACGAACCTTGTGAAGGAGGGCTATAGGCCCGCCCGAGCTCGGACGGCCAAGGGTCGACTGATGCGTTTGTGGGAGGGCCGCCATCCATCCATAGGGAAGCCCTTGTGAGTCTAAACTTGCACGGCGAAGGCGGCTTGCGTAGTGCTCTCCACCTGCGTAAGTCCTAAGTAGCACAATCCTAGCACAATCCTCCTCCTCCTCCTCCTCCTCCTCCTCCTCCTCCTCCTCCTCCTCCCTCTGCTCCTCCCTCTGCTCCTCCTCCTCCTCCTCCTCCTCCTCCTCCTCACGGGATGGGGCTTTTCGACCTTTTCCCCAACAGTAACAATTGGAAACGTTACGGATCCACCTTCTCTTCCTCCTCCCTCCCTCCCTCCTCGTCGTCCCCCTCACTCATCCTCCCTCCCCCTCCCCCCCCGGCGCGCCCGCCTGTCGGATGGGCAGCAGTTGTCGCCCCCTGGTCTGGTCGCCTCGACGTCCTGGGAGGTTCCACCATTCTGGCCAGGTGGGGAGGACCAGGAGGAGGGAGCCGTAGGTCTTCCATCTGAGCCCGCTCTGCGTCTGAGCTCAAACCGGCCGAACGGACATGGGATTCGGCCCATTCGGCTGCCAAGCGGGCAACCTTCGGACCATCCTGTCGGAATCGGGCCTGTCCGGCGGCCCAGTGGGCTCAGACGCCGAATGGTCTTAGACACATTGCTTCTCTTGTCCGGCTCGTGCTTGCTTTGGCCGCTCCGCTGGCGCAGGCAGCGCCTCGGTCCACGCAGCAGGAGCCCGAGTGCAGAGGTCATCGGGGCGCCCATCCAAGACGCATTATGGCCCATGCCCTAAAGGTCCAATGTACTGCCTTTTGTCCTCACTGGTCCCCCACGAGGTCCCGACCCTTGCCCGAGGGCCAGCTTGTCATTCCGCATCGTTTCTTGACGGCCATGGGGCCCAGCGAGGGGTCTCCTGAGGCCGAGAACAGCGAACAAAATCCCGTTTTGTTTTTGTCCAATGCGTCGGAGGTCCAGGAGGATCGGGTGTCTTCGGGCCACAACTCGGGTCTCCGGCAGCCGTTCGGAACGATGACGGCACCCCCAGAAGGTCTCTGGCAGCCGTTCGGAACGATGACGGCACCCCCAGAACGCTCTCGGCGAGGCGCTGCTGCTGGAAAGCTCCCCGGGCCTGGGACACTGAAGGGGCCCAGAAACACAAATGAATACACACAAATCCCAGGATCCCCAAAATGTTATCGTACTTTCTTGACTTGCGTCTTCTCCTTCCACTTCCCATATTTACAAATATTTCGGAGGAATCGACCATTATTTGTGCGTGTGTGTTGTTCCCCCCCTTGAAACACCTCGTGGAACCGACGAGAGGCCCGACAACATCCGAGTCTTCACTCGACTCCCGATGCGCTCGGGCAGCTGCGCCTCGCCAAGAGCGGTCCGGAGGTGCCCCGAACGAGCATTCCAGAGGGGCCCGGAACGTCCCCGACCGGCCGCCAGAGAGGCCCGAGTTATGAATCGTCAGCCGGGCCGCCGTCGAGGGAGGGAGGGGGCGGAGGGATGAGTCACCTCTGACTGGCATGCAGAACACATTCATCCAAATTTTTCGTCGTTCGACGGGTCGCCCGACCCTTTGGCAAACAACGCGCTGCCCTTTGCGCGAAGGCCGCTTTGCACAGATACGCGCAAGTGAAACTCGTCACGAACCCGCGGCGCCTCATCCGATGAGGAAGGAGGCCGGGGGAGGCGGGAGGAGGAGGAGGGAGGGGGATACTGCCGGCTGGCACGAGCCTGCAGGGTGGCCGGGCCCTGTGTTCAGGAGGGGCGTAGGGCTCGCCTGCCCTGCGGTGTTGCCTGGGGCTCCCTGTCTGACGGGGCACCGAAGTGCTCGTGAGGCACGGCGTCGCATCAAGTTTCGGCCGAAGAGGCCGCATCACGATTGTGGCGCCCAAAACCACGTCAAGCGCAGGAGGGGGGTTAGGAGGGGGAGGAGACGCCGAGACCCAACATCGTCCAAAGCTTGGCCCACGGGCAGACATCCTTAGATGTTGGTGCCTTGCGGGCGCCTGCAGAGGGAGGAGGCAGAAGAGGAGGAAGAGGAGGAGGAAGAGGAGGAGGAGTTGAAGGAGGTCTTCCTCCTCCTCCTCCTTCTCCTCTTCCTCCTCCTCCTCCTCCTTCAGATTTAATTGTAGCGCGAATTACTCGCGCCATAAATCGTCGTGTGCGGAGGGGGGTGTTGGCAATCCATGGTGTGTAGGGGGTGGGGGGGTAAAACGCCACCAGGGTGAGCATGTAAATGGGGGTGGCCCGAGAGCGTCTGAACAGGTGCAAGGGGTGGGCGGCCGTTGCGGGTATTCAGATGTGTCAGCCCCCCTTTGACCCCCATTGATGAAGATTCAATTTAGGGTATGTTTTTTTGGTCAACGACCTCGGATGTTTGGGGCCCAGGACCATCCATATTGTCAAAGGCAAGGCACACGCGACTCTGGGTCCAACGGCTCGAAGTAGGCGAGCGTCTGTTCTGTGGCAGCGGTTGCGCCGACGATTATGGGAAGAAAGGGGGTAATACGTGGGAACACCCGTCCTGGCACCAACACTCACACAGTGGGCTGCCTCCACTGGGGGGAGATGATCCTAGATTCTGGTGTTGGTGGTGTTTCGGCCACCTAGGAAGCCCGAACATTGACACCATCACCGAGATCGGGATCATCTTTCCTCGGTGGAGGTGCACCGCCGACATTGGTGTTGGTGTCAACCTCTAGGCAACCGACTCCAACTCCAAGGGATCCGGTGGAATCAAATGGCTTCGCCGATGCCCGCCAGGATCGCACTCGGAAAGCACGAGCCCTGGGGCACCATGCAGCACAGTGGCGGAAGGCCGTGCAGTCCGCCAGCATCCTCCCGCCGTGCCTCGTCACCCTCCGTGAGCAAGGCACCGACCGTCCAGCATCCCTAAAGGCCTACAATCAACCCGCATAAGAAGGACGCGGGATAAGGATGCAAGGGCCTTGAAAGGCCATGTTGACGTTCAGCGAAGGGGGAACGGCCAGCGAAAGCGGTCAAGGACGGGCCGGAAAGGGAAGGGTGCAAGGGTAGCCTTGGAAATCTGCTCATCCTTTCTATGCGGGTCGACTGTGCCACGCGATTCTCCTAGAACCGAAGAGTTTTCTCAAAACAAGCGCACTGTTCTTAGAGTGCAAGCCCGACTTATGAAGGCAGGATTGTCGTAACCAGACATGTCCTGGGAACATGTCGCGCAAACCTCAGAAAAAAAAACATCCTGAGAGCATCATATGGTTGGCCTTTTGGCAGGTTTGGACGCTCTGCCACCGCTTGACCTCCGCCACCAGGGACTCAGGAGGGGGCACTGGCGGGCAGCTCCCCGCGTCCTCCAGGGACACCCAGCCGGCGTCCTCGAAGCTCCACGTGCAGTTCCGCGCGCCCGTGGGCTCCCCCTGGGCGGCAGCCCGCGCAAGCAGGGAAGGTGGGGGGTGGGGGGAGCCAGGCATCCCATTTTCAAGCGCTGTCCCTCGACCTCGGGCCCCGGGGGCCGTCCCGGGGCCATGAGAAGCCAGCGGGGAGTATCCACACACCAGCGCCGTGTCTGGCCAGGGCCATCGTTGGCCCTAGGATGGTGTGTAGCGTGGTGGTGGTGGTGAACTGATGTCAGAAACCACCCCGCCAAATGCCTGGTTGCCCAATCCGTTCCACTACATGGGCAGAGTCTTTGAGTGGGTTGGTGGGGATACACGAAGCGTGAGGAACTGATGCCGGAAAAAATACCCCGCCAGATGCCTGGGGGAGGGATGAGGCAGTACGGCAGCGCTTGGCGACGCTTGCCAAGAGGGAGTAGAGCCAAGCTTGATTGCAGAGGGCACGCGCGAGGACACAAGACCCTTCAGACGGCCACGTCGCCATGGGAATGCAGAAGGCATGGGTCGCGGAACACAGGACGCGGGGCCACCTTTGATCTGGCAGGGCCGACCTACTAATCAATCCCGACTCTCTCTCTCTCTCTAGATATACCTATACGACCACCCTTCGGGTGATAAGGAGGTTCGGGGGCGGGGGAGGAAACAACGTCTCACTCGATCGATCGATCTCACTATCGGTCTCGCTCGAGCGATTTTACTACTGGTCTCGCTCGATCGATCTCACTCGATCGATCTCATCGATCTCACAATCGCTTCGACTATCGATCTCACAATCGATCTCACTATCGCTCTCACTATCGATCTCACAATCGATCTCGCATTCGGTCCCACTACCGATCTCACGATCGATATCGCAATCGATATCACAATCAACGTCATCATCGTCATGAACATCATCGTCATCAACGTCATCATCATCATCATCATCATCATCATCATGATGATCATCATCATCATCATCATCATCATCATCATCATCATCATCATCGGGACACCATCATCATCATCATCACCACCTCTTCACCATCATCATCAACAGCATCATCACCATCATCATCATCATCCTCATCATCATCATCATCTGGACACCATCGTCGTCAACATCACCATCATCAACATCATCATCGCGACACCATCATCATCACCGGAACACGGCCATCATCGCAATGAAACATCACCATCATGCACAACATCACCCACCTGATCATCAGCGGGACACCACCATCATCAGCAACATCATCATGATCAACATCATCATCATCATCGGGGCACCATCATCATGCTCAACATCATCATCATAAGCATCATCGGGACACCAGCATCATCGTCATCATCATCGTCATCAACTTATCATCATCGGGCTACCCTCATCAAAATCATCATCACCACCTCATCATCATCCTCATCATCCACATCATCATCATCGGGACACCATCATCACGATCATCAACACCATCATCATCATCATCATCATCATCGGGGCACCATTATCATCACCATCATCATCACCAGCATCATCGTCAACCGCGTCATCATCATCATCATCATCATCATCATCATCATCATCATCTAATCATCATCAGTATCATCAGTATCATCAGCGTCATCATCAGCACCATCGGGACACCATCATCATCAGCAACATCAGCATCATCAACTTCATCATCATCATCGGGACACCATCAGCAGCACCACGGTCATCATCATCAACATCGTCATCATCATCAACATCAGCATCATCATCAACATCATCGGGACAACATCATCGTCACCGCCATCACCATCGACATCATCAGCATCAACATCATCGACATCATCATCATCATCACCATCACCATCATCATCATCATCATCATCATCATCATCATCATCATCGTCATCATCATCGGGACACCGGCGGGACACTGGCGGGACACCGCGGGCCACCGGTTGCCGGAAGGGAGTCATTTGGTCCGGCCGCGCCTCAGCCAGAGGCGGGACACCGGCGGGACACCGCGGGCCACCGGCTGCCGGAAGGGAGTCATTTGGTCCGGCCGCGCCTCAGCCACAGGAGACTTGCCTCTCGCCCGCCCACGCAGCTTCGCCTCGCCCGCACGCACGGCACGCACGAACACGAAACCGAAACCGATTTCCCGGTAGGGGGGGCTCTCCGTTCCACTTCTATCTCACCCCCTCACCGCCGATAGATGTATATATATATATAGACATATATACATATAGATGTCTACATATATATATATATATATATATATTGCACCGAGCGCTCCAAATAAACCCGATGGGAGGGGGGGGGGAAGACGAGGCGGCACGCCCCCCATCTCAGCGCTCGCGCCCCCCCGCTGCCACAGCGAGCCTTCGCGAGGAAGGGCCCTCGATCGGCCGCGAGCCCCTATAGGGGGCAGCGCAGGCCTCGCTTTCGGATCGGGGCCCATGCTCCCGTCGCTTCCTTCGGTCACGCCCCCTACCGTCGGGGCGTTGACCTAAGGAACCCTAAATAAGGAACGAGGCCCCTTTTTCCCACAGGTTCAACCTCGATGTCCCATCCAAAACCTCGGGAAAACCCGAGGCAAACTTTGAAAAAATCAAGGAACACCGAGCCCCTCCCCAACGAAAAGGGTTCCTTCTTCAGCGCCCCGGCTGTATCGCCAAGGGACCTGCATTCGCTCGGACGTCTGTTCCCCGCGCAGCTGTTGGCTTCGCACGTGCTGTTTTTTCCGGTGATCCAGGGTGCTCCTCGAGGGTCCTTGCCGAGGGAAGCATGCACACGTCCGAGCGATGCCCACGGGGCATAACCCAACCGGGTTCTCCAGCTGGGGCCACACCCTGTGCTAGGAGGGGGGGCGGAAAGAGGGTTGTTTTCCCGATGGCGCTCTGTTTGAGTTCAGCCGCCTTGCGGTCCGCCGCCCGCCTACTCAGGGGCGAAAGAGAGTTGGGAGGGGGGGGGGGAGGGGAATTGTGCAACCTGCCCAAGCCTCAGGCGGCCGCAGCCAGGGAGCGCGAGAGAGACGGGGGGGAAGCAGCGTGCACAAAGGAGAACTCAGACGTGAGAGGCGGGGCCCTAACAAAAACATGTTCTTCTGCAGGAGCCACGCCCAATCTTGAGAGGGTGTGTGTGTGGGGAGAGTGTATTTTTCCCTATGGCGCTGTGTGTGAGTTCAGCCGCTTTGCGGTCCGCAGCCCCGCAGCATTAAACGCCATTGGACCTGGCCCCACCTCCCCACTGCTCCCTGTGGCGTTGCGTACTCAGCTGCTGCACCCTCCAGGCGCAGTATGAAAGCAGAGAGCGGTGGATACCCGATGCCGGAGAATCCCGAGAGGCCCCAGGGACCCCGAGGTACCGCCCCAGGAGGCCCCACGCCTTCCCAGGGTTTCCGCTCACGGGGGTCGGCCACGCGAGTCCCTTCTGTAGCCGCGTGCAGCGACGTGCCCGCACCCAGGCGCGGTGCGAGGAAACAGAGTTGGCGCGGGGGCCTCCCTCCAAGAGGACGTGGCGTCGCCGAGAGGCCCCGCGGCCTCCGCGGCTGCCCGTCGGAGTGGTGTGCCGCCTCTGATAGCGACGAGCACCCCGCTTGCCGCCACGCGCTCGGGGCGGGGCCGCGCTCGCCCAGGGCGCTGCTGGCCCGGGCCAGGGAAGAGGGCGCGGCGAGAGGCTCGGGACACCCCAAAGAAGGCGCACCGTACGGGTGCGGGCCCGAGGGGTGCTTAAGAGAACGTCGGGCTCCGGCCGAGAAGATGGCGCGGCGGGAGGAGGCTGGGGGCAATCCAAGGGTGGCACGCCTAAGGGTGCCGACCCACGGCGCCAAGAGACAAGTTGGCCGCCGGCTAGCCGTCGCCGAATTACAGGTTGGGCGACCTCCTCGCCGGGCTGGCGCGCCGTCCGGGCCAGAGGGGCTGTTCCGCCGCCCCGATCGGCGGTGTGCGCCAGCCGGGTCGGTTGCGGCGGCGCGTGGGCGGCCCAGACGGCTCACTAGTCCAGGGGCTCGTTCCCGATCACCCGCCGCGCCCGGTGCACGTCCCCGGAGTAGCGGTAGTAGTCCAGCATCAGGTCGTGGTGGTAACTCACGAGTTTGGGAAGTCCCCCCGTGATCTACCTCCACTTTTTCCGTCCACGCATGCCCACCACTCTGCGCCACCTCGGCGAACCACCCCGCCATGCCCCTCCCGGGGGGTCCTCCCAATTGTGCCTGCGGTGCGGTTTGTTGGCCATGCGCTGGGCCCCCAGCGGGACAAACCCGGCTTCGAGGTCAAAGGCTTCCACCTTGACTCCGTCTGTGGAAATCTCCCAGCTACCCTCCTTGCGGTCCGGGACCCAAATGGCCATCCACCTCATCTCGGGCCGGTCCGGGCGGGGCGGGTACCTTGGCTTGCATTCGTCGCGTGCGACGGGGGTGGGAACTGGGACTGGCCAAGCACTTCATCCACTTGGCAGTTCAGTGCGGTAGATTACAATGTATGGTTTAAAGGGTGAGTGAAAGGTCAGAGAAAGAGGGAGGGACACGCTCAAGCCTTTGTGGCTCGGCAGCGCGCCGAGCCCCTCTCTTCGAAGGGGGGAGGGCCCCTTCGGGGTGCCACAGCCATGGTGGTCGCCGTCTGGCTATGAGGGGGGTCTCTACACACTGAACCCACAAAACAGGACAAATGACAAATCAACTTTCGCACAACAGTACTTAGGTCGCTAACAGACCGAAAAACAACTCCTCAACCAAACACACATCGTCACCCCCGCTTAGGATCGAACACGTACCGCTTGAATCGAATGAAACCACCCGACTGGAAAGACAAACGAAAAACAACTCACTCCATACAACTCAATTGGCTTTGACGAACGAGCCGCGTCGTATTCATCAACATTCATTGTATAAAGAATTCCAGCACAGGCGAATCGCTATTACACTTCCAACACACTTGTAACGACCAAACGTGACAACTTTGATGCAACATTATGCTTCGAACCATTCCGGGCCGAAACGGCCCACATATTGGGTGCAACGACTCAAACGTGATACATGTAATGATAAATTCTGTTTCGAACCGTTCTGGCCCTGAGCGGCCCACACGGAGCAAAAACGCACACGTGACACATTCAATGAAACAGTCTGCTTCGAACCGTTCGGGGCCGAAACGGCCCACGCGGAGGGGGCGGATCAGGCGGCGGCGGTTCTCTGGCGCGCAATTGAACGAACGACGACAGATGACGGAAGGAACGCGTCCAAAGTGCACGACTTCGAGGAACGACGAACGGTGCGCTCCCAAGTCAGGTGGCGGCTGCGACGAACGACGGGATGGACCCCGATGGCCCAGCCGCGCGGCGGACGAACGACGGGCGAACCTTGCGCGACTTACTCGCTCGCGGCCGACTCAACCCCCATAAAGTCTGGCTCGCGGCCCCGGCGCTGGCCGCCGCGCTGCGTTGGGGCGTGAGAGCGGCTGCCGCCGGCAGACCATGCTCGCCGCTGGGCCCCCGTCCCGCGGCGCCAGACGCCCAGCCGCCGCCCGCCGCCGCCGCGCGGGACGCCGCTGGGCCACCGGCGCGCATCGCGCCCGCGGCGCCCAACCTGGACGCTGTCTCTATCTCTCTCTCTCTCTCTCTCTCTCTCCTTGCCTGGGCCGAGGAGGTCCTGGAGGAGAGAGACTACGCATACGATGACGTCGATCATCTCGCCGCAGCGGACTTCAAGAGGCTCGACGACGCGGTCTCCCTGTTGCCAATGCCAGAGGGTCTTGAGGGCCCGACAGCTGCTGAACTCGCTCGGGTAGTCGAGCAGATGTTGGAATCCCATAATGAAACGCCGCCACCAGAGGCGACGCGCCACCGCTCCCCGCGGCAACGCCGCAGCCAGGAGTCACCGACGAGTACGTCGAGTACCACGAGTACTACTACGAGGCGAAGCAGCCCCCCCCACCGAGGACCGCGGCCCAGCTCGACAGCCACGCCACGGCCCACGTCATCGTCGAGGGCGTCAAAGATGAAGGCGACAGGACGGGGAGGAGGACGGCTTCGAGGAGATGGAAGCGCCATCTGCCCCAGGCCTTCATGCCGCACCAACGTCCCGACTCGCGGCGGCTGCCAGCTGGCTGCCCGCCTGGAGGACGGCGGCCCCGCCCCCCGCAGCTGCCGCCGCCGGCCCCGCCGCCGCCCCCGCCGCTGCCTGGAGCTGGCCCGCCACACTGCGGGCCCGCCTGGGTGGTGCAGCCGCCGCGGGCAACCCTGCAGCTGGCCTCCTCGGGGACTCCCCTTTGCCAAGCTTGGGGCATCGCTTTCGGGGAGTACGCGCCGATTGCCTGGACTTCCGATTGCCTGTCTCCTCCTTCGCGGCGCGGAGCTCCTCCCGTGCCGCCCCTCGCTGCCCGCCCAGCACATCTTGAAACTGGACCCGCATCTCCTCCCTCGCGGCGCGGAGCGGCTCCCGCGCAACCGGGCGCTCGTGCCTGCACGCGTCCGCCACGGTGCTGCTCACCTGCAGCTGTACGTCGTCCCGCAGCTCGCAGAACCTGTCCTCCACCATCCGCCCGCAGAGCTCCCTCTGCTCCTCGGACTCCTGCTGAATCTGGCTGCACTGCATGATCAGCTGACCTTGCGCCAGGCTGATCCGCGTGGCGGTGTTCCTCGCGCACTCGCGAATGCCATCCCGCGGAAAACTTGGCACGCCTCTACACACACGAGCGACGGGGGCCCCGAGCGGGCGGTCTTGAGCCGAGCGGCTGCGGGCATTGCGACCCGGCTGTCAGCACCGCGGTACCACGGCCTGCGCGGCGGTCCGCAGCTCCAGCAGCACGCGCGAGAACGGATGTTTGCGCCCGATGTGAATGGGGAACAGGGGAACGAGCAAGGGGGGCGAAGGCGGGGAAGCGGAGAGAGGTTGACCGCGGCCGCGGGCGCACGGCGTCCGGCATCGTGCGTGTGGTGTGCGTCCGCCATCGCGCCCTCGACGGCGTGGCGTGCGTGACAAAGGTGGGTGGCATGGGGAGGGGCTGGCAACGACGTCGCCGCGACCGACGGGGGGGGAAGCGCTTACTGCCTCCCCTGGCATGGAAGGAGCGCTTTCTGAAGGAACCGTACTCTGGATCCCGAGGGGTTTTCCCGGGACCAACATTCTGCCCCGAGCGGCTTTTGGCAGTGCCGGGGCTCGTGCAGGGCCCGGAGAGGGGCGAAGGGCCGCAGGACCATTTTCAGTCAGGATCCATTTCCTTCGCGGCAGCTCGTCATTGGTCGCGCGGCGTCGCACGCGCAGCCCCCAAGTCGAAGAAGCCGGGGCGCGGCTTGTTTAGAGCGAGTGGATGGGGCCGCAGGATCGCGTCGCATCGCCGACGCCGGCGTGGGGGAAATCGGGATCCACATCGAAGTATATCCACAATGCATCGGCGATGCGGCGCGACCCTCCGACCCCATCTACTCGGACCCCATCTGGGAGACCTAGATAGTTCTGATTGCGCCCAAAGCTTGCACAGGGGGTCGGGAGAGGAGGCAACCACGGGGCGACCGCCGGCCGCGGCTCTGCATATACAGCGGCAGGTCGGACAGCAGCCATCGGCCATCGCGCCCCCCACCCCCCGTTCACCTCCGCGGTTGCAAGAGTTGATCGTGACCCCAGGTGCGCCTGGTTTTTCTCTCTCTGGTCAGGGGCCCCATGGGGCCCTCTGGGCGCGCCCCCCCCCCCCCCCTGCGGAAAGTAAAGGCAACTGGAGCCATGGGCACCTGTTGGCAATGCCCGATCCTGTCCTCGATCCTCGACGCCCACCCCCCCCGCTGGCGATGGCGGGCGCACGATGTTCAATCCACTGGGCGATGACATCCGTGTGTCAACGCTGGCCCGTGGGCGCTTGAAATTCCAAACTGACGCATGACCTCCCTCACGACTCGGGCCGAAAACTGGACCCTCGAACCTCAATCCGTGAACCTCGCTCTCTTCCTCGACCCTCGATCCTCGAACCCCAGTCTCCCCCCCTCCCTTCAGTCCCAGCCCCCCTGGCAGCCAAGGCTCCTCGCACCGGCCGCTCAATGGCAGCGAGTACCAGATGCCGCCAGGCGCTGGCGTCTTGAAGTCAGGGAAGGGGTACCTCCCGCGCTCTGGAGTACGCCCGGCCGCTAGAAGGAGGAGGTTTCTGAATAAACCCAAGAGCATCAACGATACGCCCTCCATGGGCCTCGCGTCCCAAGCCTTCTCCTCTAAGGATCCTAGACGCTATCCTTCTCACTCCAGGACGCGCCCCCTTTCAAAGATCAGCACCCTATATGCCTGGAGTTCAGGCGAGATCCCCGCTTTGAAGAGGAACTGCCTTGCATCTTTCTAGCGGGTAACAGCGAAATCGATAACATATGATGTTCTCGGTCTAGATCGTGTTACAAATGCCGTCGCCCATGCTCGCTCCATGGCCTCATCCCAAAGGGGCCGGGACAGGAGGCCGTGGCGAGGACGAATCTGGGAGCAAACGACGGTAGTGGGATGATGGGGGGCATGTCTCAGAGGGAGTGTGGACCAGTGGAACTTCGCTACCACCCTCAAGGGGGCTAGGGCAACGAAGAGGAGGACGAGCCCCGATTAGCGCAGATCCCGCCGGGCACCGGCGCGGGGACGCTTGCCCCACCCCGCGCGGCTGGGGAGGTGCACCTTAAGATGTGATGCAGGGGGGCCTCCGTGAGGCTGCCACAAGGGCAGGGCCGCGACATGTAGGCGCCGCATCGCCTACTGCAGCGGCCCCCGAACAGCCAGTCAGACACCGAGCTATGCAGCAGCGTGGCCAGCGAATGGCGCCGCGGGGCGGGAAGTCCCTGGACCGTATCCGGAACGAGCCATGGGATGCCGGTCCAGCTCCAAGCCGCACGCGGCACGAACCACGACGAAACTGGGAGGGCGGGCCCAGGGAAAAGTTTCGGCAAGGCGCGAGAAAATTGCTATAGTTAGCATGCGGATAGGGACAGCAATGATGACGATGCCGACGACGAGGACGAAGACGGCAACTGTGGCCCTAATCGCCAATATGGACGAGTAATGACACTCCTGCCCTCCTCGACGGTCGCAGTCACGGAAATGGTGTGGACCACCCTGAAGGCACGGAAACGGTGCAAGCGGTGTGGGCACTGTCGAGAGACAACCTCTGCGTGAGACAAGATGTGGCCAATTGGGCTTCTGCCAGTGCGGCGGCAGCACGAGCACAAGGCAGCCTGCTGCACAGATGAGAGGGCCTGGCGCGCCACTCGAATACACCAGCGGGGTTGGCATCGCAAGCTGGAGGACACCACACTGTCAGGCGAGCGTGGCCGAAACTCCGGGCTCAATTCGCGGGGGTGGGGGAGGCGCATCTGTCCCGGCCGCGTGGCCGCCGAGCGGGACAAGGACCCTTTCCTATCCGCGCGCTCAGGTTCCAGTTTGTGGCGCCACCTGGAGCCAACAAATCCTCCCCCCTTCAACAAATATCAACGTGGAACACCGCTCCGCAAATATCATACAGACAGGCTCGGCCCCACTCAAGCCTGACATCAGTCTATCATCATACGTGTCAAGGTGTCTGGCGGGGTTTTGAAAGAGGACCGCCCCCCCATCTGTGAAACTGTCGCACAAGTTTTGGCTGATGGTCATGACCTTCGAGGACGTCTCAAGCGAAAGCCACATTTCGATAAGGAATCGAGGAATCGCCCTCCATCCGTACAGCTGTTACATCTGCTCGAGATCATGGTTACCTGGTTAAAGGAAATTTGGAGCGATAGCCCATTTTTGAAAAGGGACCGTCCTCCATCCCAGTACCTTTTGCAAACAAGCAAAAATTGTGCGGCTCTCAAGTGAAAGCTAGCTCCAGTTCAAGAAGGAACCGCCCTCTGTCCTTGCAACTGTTGCCAGATATTAGGGTGGATGCGCGCAGTGCTACTTTCAAACGACACCCACCTCCATCATTGTAGTTATGCAGCGTTACTTTGAGAGGCCAAGTTTGAAATCCACCCTCCCTCCATCTTCAAACTTCAAATACCAGAAACATTGTTGGATAGCAAGTCTCAGGCGACAAGGCCCGCCCCGCCCTACCAACACATCTGGGGAAGCGAATGGATCTGTAAGGAACGGGGATGGAGGTGGGAGGAGGCACAGAAAGAGGAGAACCTCCATCCTCCCCTCATCCTCTCCTTCTCCTCCGCCTTCTCCTAGCTCTCTGCCTTCTCCTCAGAATAGGGCGGAGGGCGGAGAAGGAGGAGGGGGCCAGAAGGAGGGAGACGGAGGAGAGGGGATGCGGAGGAGCAGAAGAAGCAGGTGGGGGAGGGGGAGCAGCAGGATTCTCAGAAGAAAACAAAAAGGAGGAGGAATTGGAGCAGCAGGAGAAGCAGGAGCAGGAGCAGGGGCAGCAGGAGGAGCAGCAGGAGGAGGAGCAGAATGAAGCCCGACGCTGCTGACGGCTGGTGGCGGCCAGAAGCGCCGCAATCGAAAGACTGGCTTGTGTTCGCCCTGGGAAGTCCACGTCGAGGGCTGCGGGCACGACGCGGTCGGTCGCACGCAGTCGAAGAATTCCTCTACGTCGGCTGACAAACCTCGACGATGTCCAGCGCGTCGCTGCATTCGTCCGTGACGATCCTCCCGACAGCCTCCCGCAGGCAGCTGCTGCCCGCCATCGCCGCGCCCCACTCCCTCTCGCGCCCTCCCCCCCCCCATGCCCGGCGCGGAGGAGGAGGAGGAGGAGGAGGAGGAGGAGGAGGAGGAGGAGGAGGAGGGAGGAGGAGGAGGAGGAGGAGGAGGAGGAGGAGAAAGAGGAGGAGGAGAGGAGGAGGAGGAGGAGGAGGAGGAGGAGGAGGAGGAGGAGGAGGAGGAGGAGAGAGGAGGAGGAGGAGGAGGAGGAGGAGGAGGAGGAGGAGGAGGAGGAGGAGGAGGAGGAGGAGGAGCTCCCAGCGCCTCACCAGGATGGGGAAGCCTTGCGCCGACGCCCTGCCGCCCTTCTGGCGGGCCCGGGCACCACCACCGTATGACCACCGACCAGAGCGCAGCCCGCCACGGCCGCGCCCGGCTCCCTCTCGCACGCGTGGACCAATCGGGGATGGACAAGCCTCCCTACCTGGGAGTCGACGATGAATGGTGTCTGTGTGCTGCTTCCTCTCCTGAGAGAAGGGCGGCACAGGCCGGACTCCTCCGCCGTCCAGGGCGCGCCTGCCCCCTGGGGCGGCCGGAGAGCCCACGATGCCGGCACCGTGGGGGTGCATAGCCTCTGCAGCCGCCCGAGGGGCAGGCTTCCCCCTCGGGGATGGACAAAACCCCCTTTAGTAAAACGTGGTTTCGTGAAAACGACTTCGGGCCCAAACCTGGCGGGCGCAAGCCTGGAAAATGACGGCCACGGCGCCCTCTCGAGAACCGAAAACGGCCAATTCACTAATCGACGTGTCACTGTTGGGGGTTCTGTCCACCCCCGAACAAAAGGGGCTCGGCGACGGCACGCCCCCCCTGCCCCCGGCACTCGGAGGCGTGCGCCGAGGCCAGCGTGCGCCGCCGCGCCGCCTCGGCGGGGCGGCGCGGCGGCGGGGCACGGCCTCCGACCGCCGAGCCGCTGGCCGAGCGAGCGCTCGCACGGGGGGGGAACGGGTCCTGTGGGCAGCGGCTCCTGGACCCTGGGGGCCTCCCCCCCCGGGGACGAGCTCCTCATCCCGAGCCCTGTCCTTGGGACGTCCCCCGGGGCCCGTGGAGGGCCCGAGAGCGGCCCAGAGACCTCCGTAGCCGTCTCCCTCGGGACCCATGGACCCCCTGGCGGCAGGCGCCCCGGATGTTCGCGCCGCCATGGCGGAGGAGCCAGCGGTGCCGACGAGGCCTGGGAGTCCCGAAACGGTGCGGTGACTGACCGTGCGGTGACCTCGAAATCCCCCAGGACCTCACCGCACGGTCCGTCACCGCGCGGTTTTGGACCCTGGAGGCCCCTGTCGCCCGAAACATCCTCGGAGGAGGACTCGAGTCCCAAAACCGTGCGGTGACCCCGAATCCCCACCGACTCACCACACGGTGTGGTCACAACACCGTTTGGGGGCCCCCGAGAGGCCCGCCCAGGAGTGCGAAAAGGGGGGGAAACGGGTGGGGAGAAGGTATCGGTAGCTTTCCTTCCTCTGCTGGGAAGCCCAGGGACTGCGACCACCATCGCCGAGGTCGGGAAGCCTCGCCCCTTGGTGGAGGCGCACCGCCGACCTCGGTGCTGGTGCCAGCCCCTCGGGCTCCAACGCGCTGCTCCTCGCCTCGGCTCGGCCTCCCGGGCCGCCCGGCTTCACGCCTCGCGCACCACAGGCCCGCGACGGGCGGCCATCCTCGCGCCCTCGCGCCCCTCCCACGAGGCATCCAGCGTCGCTTCCCTCGGGGCCCGCTTCCTGTGGTGGCACCTCAGGGGGGCCTCCCATACCATCCTGTCGGCTATTGCGAATCGACGCTAGATCGACTCCAGATCGACGCTAGATCGACGCTAAGTCGACGCTAGGTCAACGCTAGTCGACGCCAGCCGACGCAGGAACGGATTCATCCTCGTCCCAGCCCCGTCCGAGGACCTGGCGCGTGGGCGCTATAGATCCACGCACTTGGTGGAACAAATGGAGCCAGCGCCGCCCGCTTTGGCGACGGAGCGCGTCGCATTCGTGCGGAAGCGGGCCCCATCGCTGTCCGCGCCTCCGCGTCTGCGCTTCCGCGGCAGGAGGAACGCGCCGTTCCAGTCGCCGGCCTGCGGCGCGGCTCGCCAGCCCACGTCGAGGCCCTGGGAAGGGGTCCTCGTCCACGGAGCGCTCCGCGAGCGCGCCACCCTCCACCGGGCGCTCGAAGGAAGCGCACGCCGCTGTCGCAGGTCCAGTCCCCACCACAGGGACCAGACCCCCGTCCTCGTCCCAGTCCACGGCCTGCGGCGCGGAGAGCACGCCCACGTCGAGGCCCAGGACGTGTTCTCGTCTCTGGAGCGCTTCGCGGGCTGCGCCAGGCGATCCGGCGCACCTGCCTGGCTTCCCGAGGCAGATGGCGCGGAGAGGCCACAGATAATTCGGCACAAATTCTAGACATCGGAAGAGACACCAGAGGAGGAGGAGGAGGCGGAGGAGGAGGAGGAGGAGACGGAGCAGCAGCATCAGAAAAGAGACGGACGGCGCGCGCGCACGGGCGTGGGTTGCATGTCCCAGAAATTGTTGCAGCCCGGGTTGAAGCCGAATGTCTCGTAGTGGACCCTGCAATCGTCTGCGCCTCGGTGCCGCCCTTCGAAGCCCCAGGACACCATTAAACACCACGTCGGAGAGCATTCCCCCCACTCGGTCCCCAGAGTCCAGCTCTTCTTCTTCTTCTTCTTCTTATTCTTCTTCTTCTTCTTCTTCTTCGTCGTCTGTCCTCCTCCACCTCCTCCCCCTACAGCGCCTCTGGCTGTTCCTCTTCCTTGTCCCCTTGATCCTGAAAATTATCCTGCACGTCCTCCTCGTGCTGCTTCTCCTCGACATCCTAGTCACAGGCTCGGGGATCGTAGCTGACGACCCTCCCCGCAACGCCCCCCGATTCCCAGACCTCCGACGACTCGAGTGTTCGAGTCGCCGGCCCCTGGAGCTCTCAGCTCCTCCCCTGGGGTTGGTTAGAGGCCTCCTAGATGGGGTCGGAGTAGATGGGGTCGGAAGATCGCGCCGCATCGTCGATGTATCGGCGATGCATCGGCGATGTATCGGCGATGCACTGGCGATGCATCGTCAACGTCGGCGATGCATCGGCGACGTCGACGTGAAGCAAATCGGCCTGCAAATCGAGCCGTATCGTCGATGCATCGGCGATGCTGCGCGATCCTCCGACCCCATCTACTCCGACCCCATCTAGGAGGCCTAGATTGGTGTCATCCCGGGCCGCACTCTGCTGGCCGCGGGAACCCGAACCAGGCCTGCCGAGAGAGAGGCCCAGCGCCGTGGAATAACCAGCAGTCTCGAGCGCGTCCTGGCGCCAGGCCCGAGGGTCCCTGGACAGCCCCGCCTCCGAGGACGCTGTTCGCCGGGGCTCAGCTCCGCACGCAGCGGGAGATGTACCGCCGGGCTGCTGAAAGAAGGAACGCTGGAATGAGGAGCGAAGCCCCACTTTGGCACCAAAGGCGCCGGGGTGCATGAGGAGGGCTCGATGAATGCCGAGCAACTTCCGAACCCAAAGCAGTCATTCTATCAGCGTCTTGGCTGTAGGGTCCATCGTGAACGGTGGAGGGGTGCATCTCTGGGTCTCCGTGCGCTTGGGGGCTGGCCGTCAGATGTCCTAGCAGACCGCTTGCGGTGTCACACGTCCGCGAGCTGTGCCGCTCGGCTCTCGCGCGACCATCAAAACGCAAAGCAACATGCAGCTGCATGCGGTCCGTACCTCCGCGTGGGTTGACTGCGAAGTGCTCCCTCCTATTGTGTCACCTCTTTGTGCTGCGTGGTGTGGTGAAGTTCGGCTGCTCGCTGTACGTCATCGCCCCCCAAGCACTTGCTTCGGCGGCTCAAGGATCATCGTCATCATCGCTTCGGTGTCCGCGCCCTGGTGGCTGGCCTTGGCATTATGGCCATGCTGGGCGTGGCACTCCTTCTCCACGGTGCGAGCTGAAAATCACGTAATCGGCAACTCGTGCGCGTCTGCACCATTGCAGGCGCTCGAACCTGACGGCGTCAAGGACGCCTCGAGCGCGCGTGAGCTCCGCCCCTGGAAACACTCGCGGAGGCTGAGCCTCCCGACTGTCCTGAAAGCGGCGACGTGTTTGTCGCACACGCGGAACGCGCTTTGTCTTTTTGTGATCGGCGACGTACAGCGAGGGCCAGGAATGCTCCACTGCACTGCAGCACGAGTTCCCACGATTGGAAAGAGAGGGAGGCGAAGGAGAAGGAGCTCGAGCAGGAGGGGCGTGGACACGAGGCGGAGCGAGTTTGCTGAAGCTCTCCAGGCCCTCCATGGGCGACCATCTGGCAGCGCGCATGCACGGACGGTGCGTGGACTGCCAGCATCCTCGGCAAAGACGCAGGACCTGCATCGGCACTGCCAGTGCGAGCGAGTCGTCTGAAGCATGGACAAACAAATAGATGAACCAAACACGGAATTAACATCAACTGTTGCAGGTCCTCGCAAGTTTCTTGGATCTGTGCTGGACTCCCCTCCCTGGCGCGCGGAGCGCGCCGAGGGCGGCGCTGGAGGCGCTGCCAAAGGGCCCAGCGCAGATCCAAGGAATCCGCGAGGACCGTCAACAGTTCATGTTTATGCCTCTTTTGGTTCTTCAAAGAGAGAGGGGGCGAGGTGGACATCTCGGGGCACCTGGTCGGGGGGGGGCGGCCTGGCCCATGGATCCCGGACACGACTGGTGCGGCAGGATCTGCGGGGCGCATTCAGCCCATGCGACTGCTGCCCTGTCCCCCCTCCCGTGCCGTGTTGAGCAGGCTGGGGGTGCCCCAGCGGCTGGTGTATATGAATATATCTTGGCCACCGGGGGCCCGAATCTATCCACATCCACTGCATGAGGAGATCCGCGAAGTTCGAACCCCCAGGCGGCGTTTATAGATAATTCCCCGCCTCGGAGGGAGTCACCTTATTGAGGAACTGGGGTGGGCGCTCAGCGATTGTCGCCACTCATCATCGGAGTGAGCAGGGCCGTGAGTGCTGCAAGACCTCATCCCGGCCCTGCCAAATGAAGAACACATGTGCTCGCCGTCTGCTGTTGTCTCTTGCCAGCAGAAATTTCCAATGTCGACGTCCTTTCATCCCTGGTTGCTGGAGAGGTGGAACCGTCGACGGGGTCACGCCAGCAAGGATTTTCGTCTATGCTGGCGCCATCTTCAGCAGCTGTCTGCGACTACCTGTCAGATCTGGCTGTGGCAGCAGCCATCGCCTGTTCAACCATTCTGAATATCGATCACGGCATTATGGGATTGGCAACATGTGGTAATGTCAATGGCTGCATGCACGGTAGATAATTACACCACTGAGCCGCGCAGCAGTACTTCTGGTGATGGACAGCCATGCGGGATTTAGCAGAAAAATATCATCGTAAAACATGACATCTCTCTCCTCAAACACTGTGCTAGCCGTGCAGGGAAGGAAAGACAATCTAACCGAACACTCTGTACTCCAACTCCCTGCGTACCCTGTTCGCCCTAGCAGCACGAGCTTAACATAATTCCCACGCACACCAAGCCAGAACATGCTGGACCATAATGGCTGCAAGTGCGCCTCACGGCGGGTTGGATGTTGCAACTTCCCTCTCTCTATGTGAATCCCCCCCTCTCTCTACACCTCTTTATTATCTCTCTATATTTACATATCCCTCGATCCCTGGATCCTGACGCAATCTCTGTCCTCTCGCTCTCTTTGCACAACGCACGCGTCCCAATTCTATAGGCTGGCTGCCTGTGCACATGTTCCCGCCGAAGCAGCGGCCCATGCACATCCCGAAATCGTACGAGAAGCGCACCCCAAAATTCATGCCCGTCTGGTACAGTTCCTCCGGAAACAGATTCCGGGCCCGCCCTGCTTGAGTGGACGGATGAGAGGAGGAGAAGCGGGAGGAGGAGCAACAAGGGGAGGGATGAGGGAGGAGAAGAACTGGGGAGGGAAGAGGAAGGAGGAAGGAGAGAGAGCGAAGAAATAATGGAAGGACATCGGATTGGAGATAAGGCAAACTGCGGACAGACAGGCCTGCGGACAGAGCCGTGCATTCGCGGGCGCGCAAGCACGCCATCCCGTCAGTGGCAACAGGACCCAAGAGGGCGGTCTGTTGCTCGGAGACTCACTTGGGGTCGGGGCCTAAGCGAGAATCCTAGCGCAGCTGGCCTGGTCTAAAGCTCGGGTCACAATCCGAGCCAGCGCACCATGCCTTGCTACCCCATGCGGCTGGGGAAAGGGCGAGGATCACGGTCCGAGCACAGAAGCCCAAGGGCGCATGGCGTGCGCAGCTGCTCCTGCCGAGGCTACAAGGGGGGAACCGCTGCTGGCGCTGGCAGGGTGACGCGGTTACGAGAAGGACGAGAGGGTGAGGTCATCGCATGCGCGCGAGCGGCCCATGCATTTCGTCAGGCAGCTCTGTGCCACTCGACTGTTGCCTGCGGCGCCGAGGGAAATCGGCGCCTGGCGTGGCGGCGGCAACAGAGACCATGGAGCGGCCAAGAGGCGCAGCAACCTGCGGCTGGCTGGCAACCACGGATCGATTCGAATCTACGGTCGTAGCCGCTGGTGGCGCAGCTCTCCCGGCTGTGGCTGGTGGTTGAGCAGCCGTTGTTCTCTGCGCTGGCAGAGAATCGGAGAGCTACAGCCGTTCATGTCGATAGAGCTAGAGCTGTTGTCAGGCAAGCTGCAGGCAACTGTGACCGATCCATGGACGCGCGTGCGAATGATCACGACGTTCGTTGAGTGGCGGCAAGACCCGCTAGGGTGGACTGCGGCTCGGAGACTCACCGGGGCCAGAACCTAGGCGATGATCGTATGGCAAGCAGCCCAGCGAGGAACTGGTGCCGCACTCCGAGTCTGTGAGCCGTGCCTTGAAGCTGCATGAAGAGAGAGCGAAGCTCTGAGAGGACAGTGGAAGGGCACCGCTGCTGCTGCGGTAGCCACCAGAGAGTAATCGTGCCTTGCGCTGGCGTGATCAACGAATCGTGCAAAGCCGAGACGCAGGGACCACCTGATTTGAGCTTTTGGGATGCATGAGTGGGGATGCATGAGTGTACCCTTCGGCAGTAGCCTGAATGAGTGGAACTACCCTTTGGCGGTAGCCTACAGTGCCTAGGGGGGCCCGCCCTTGGCACATCGGCTACCGAAGCGAGTGTGTGGCCCATGAAGCGCACCAACATACGGCTGGCTGCGTCAGCCAAGACACAAGGGTAGAACATACCCGGTCCCTATTGGTGGCACATCGCGCTCGAGGCGGACGTCTCGCAGGTAGGCCCGCTCTTCTCACCGCACTCGTGGTTGAAATGAACATTCTGGCCGCCACGGCCCCCTGGAGCTGGAACTGGTGGCAAGCGCTGCAGGCGGGGTGGTGGTGCCCTCAACCGAGAGGCCTGGTTGCGGGCGAGCTGCTGCTGCCCCCGAGGAATCGACGGTGGTGGGTGCACCGCTGCGCCCCCGTGGCCGGGAGAGGACCTCCCAAATGATCGCAAACTGGCAGTGCCGGCGGTGGGTGGGTCTCCGCGCCAGGGACGCTGATCCAAGGACACGCCCAAGCCTGAGGGAACACTGTATGGCGGGATTGGCTCAGGGAAGAAACATCGGCCTGGAATCGGCGATACACCTCCCATAGATCGGCGATGCGGTGAGGGCATTGGATAAGGAAGCATTGGATAAGGAATCCAGGGTCTGGAAGCTGGTGGAACACCAATCGTGGATTGGCCATGGATATCACGGCCGCCTTCCCTCATCATATAATAGGGGGAAACCAAACCTACCTCGCTTTTGACCACCCTCGCTTCCAAGAGATACCAAGCGATGCCAAATTACGGCCTGTACTGGTCAGGCCGCTTGACGAGGAGGCGCGTGGTATGACTTGGTTTTTCCTGGAAGCGAAAGCGGGGTAGGTAATTCACGCTCTGATATAAGGACTCCTCCAGGGTCGGAAGCCCCCCTGGGCGCATTCCTGAACGAACGCCCCCACCGTGCGCTCTCGATAAACGAAGCCGCACACGGCCCTGGGCGGGGTGGGCCATCGGCCCCCATCGGCGGTCAGTGGGCCGCGGAGGGCCGATGCGTCGCCCCCCCCCCCTGAGCCTACCCGCTCCCCCTGCGGACGTGGCTCCTGAAGGACTCCTGGAAACGCCCGATGCCGCTGCCGGTGGTCCCTGGCTCGACGCGCACGCACGCCCCTCATCTCGGCGCCCTCTGCGCCCGTGCTCTTCCTCCTCTTCCCCCTCCCCGTCTCGCCAGCTTCGAGTGCCGTTGGCGCCCCTGACTGTCCGCGTCGCCCCTGCCGCCCGCGGGGCCTCCCATCAGAGAGCATGCACGACGCTGGGCACTCCGCTGCCCACACCGCCGTGTATTCGCGCGGGTGTCCCGTGCGAGCACTGCCGGCCCCGGGAGGCCCACGCGCAGGACGCAGGAGTGGCCCTATAGGCGAGAGCGACCTTCGGTGCGCGGCGCTAGGGGGCCGCGGAGAGGCCAAATCTGGCGCGCAAGAGGATGCTGGGGGACCCCCAGCATGGGCCCGCACGTCAGGTCTGGGGGCACCACCAGGTACGGATGCCACCACTCCCCGGACCTCCTCCGGGATGCGTTCTGGCCAGCATCTCGAGGCGACTCCAGCGGTGGCGACGAGGGCTCCCGAGGAGGCCCAACAAAAGGACGAAAACGAGGGGCGGGTAGCGGCACGGGCACGTTCTCCTCCTCCGAGAGGCGCTCCGGCGAAGGGCCGAGGCCGGGGGGCCTCGGCCTGGACTCTGACCCGGCGGGCCTGGCGCACGACTCCCGGAGGGAGGGCGGGCTCTCTGGGTGCGGTGGGGCGGCTGAGCGGCGGAGCGGCGCCGCGCACCGCAGGGGCCCCCCTGGGCGACAGAAGGGCCAGAGCCCGGGCGGCTGCGGAGAGGAGGAGGCAGAGGGGGGAGGATGCAGGGGAGAGGAGGGATGCAGGGGAGAGGAGGAGGGGGAGGATGCAGGGGAGAGGAGGGAGGAGGCAGAGGGGGGAGGATGCAGGGGAGAGGAGGAGGGGGAGGATGCAGGGGAGAGGAGGGAGGAGGAGCACCAGAACGTGCCCGGGGGCGAGCCTCAAGGTCCAACTGGACATAATTAGCGCAACAGCAGATCTGACTCGAACGCAGGCTGAGTGAGCCCAGGGGAAAGCGGGCACAGTCCCCCCAGGCAAAGGTGAGTCCGAGCGCGCGGCACCCTGATGCAAAAAAAGCTGTGGCTCTCGGCAACGGGTGCCCCCGCAAGCCCAACGCCGAACGCCCTCTGGAGGAAAAAAAGCAAGGCGGAGGTGTGCTGAGATGTGTGCGCAGACCCAAATCTCGGATGCCATGCCTGCTTCGGCACGGGGAGGCCCGGAGTTCCCTTTCTGGATCCTTCGACCGGCAGGGAGCCCCACATCGCTCCCTGGGCGCTTCACGTTCTGAGAGCCCCCCAGCGCGATGTTTGCCGAGCCGCCAAACAGGCATGCTGAAACTGAAGCATCCGCCAATGCGTTGTTGTCCCCATCCGCGGCCCAAGCGGTCTCGACCACTCCCCAGGGAACTTTGCCTTACCCCTGTGATGGCCACAGGGGCCCAACGGCAGAAAGATGGAAAAAACGTTGCCCCCGTGATATTTTGGCGTAGGGATGCCGCCTCGTTTGCGCGAGTGCGCCAGTGCCGCCCGGCGGCGCTCGGGAGGTCCTTCGTGGCCCGCGTCTTCACCTTGTACCGGCTCACCCGCGAGATGTTGAACTTGCGCGGGCAGCGTGGCCCCTCCGTGTACATCGTCACGACCTGCTCGCGGGGCGACGTGAGGGTCGGGCACTTCCCTGAGAGCCGAAGCTGCAAAACACTGCAACATCGCCAGACATCACCACCGGAGCCGCCGACCACATCTTTCTGTGCCACGTCTCGGGCCGGATCGGCCTTCGAGGGCCTCAGGGTCCGAAGCCGGGCGGGACCGCCCGCTGTGGCAAAGACTGCGCACCGGGATCTCAAGGCCTCGTTTTCGTGAAGAGTCGGGGGCCCCCAGCGGAGTTTTTGAAGGGGCCCTGGGACACACACAAAGAAATACACACGAGTAAAAAGATCCCCCATGTTTCCCCACATCTTCTAGGTCTCTGCCTCCCCCCCCCACTGCCCACCGCCCATATAGTTTCCTGCATTCTTCGGGGGAATCGGCGATGAATTGTGTCTGTGTGCGTTTTCCCCTCCGGAGTTTTCTCGCTCTGGTGAAGCGTCGGGGGGGCCCCCGCCGCACGCGCGGGCGGGCCGCAGCAGGCGCCGGGCGCGCGGGGCTCGGCCGCGGAGGGAGGCGGGGGCGAGGGCCGGGCACGCGCGGGCGCGGAGTGTACCGTCGGGGCCTTGACCCGAGGAGCCCCAAAGAAGGAACGAGGCCCCTTCTTCCCATAAGGTAAACTTTGACTTCCCATCGAAGCCCCAAGCAAAACCCAAGGCGAACTGCAGAACAACCAAGACACACCGAGCCCCTCCCCAACGAAAAGGGTTCCTTCCTCAGCGCCACGACTGTAGGGGCCCGTGGATCCAGCGGGGGAGGTGTCGGCCCCTCTCCCAGGCTCTGGGAGAGTTTTCCGGCTGGGCCGGAAAGCAGGGGCCCAGCCCTGGGGCATGCGAAAGGGGGGGGGGGTCCATCGTCGATGGGGCTTCGTTCCCCCCTCGGGGTGTAGATCCCAGGGTGGCCTTCCTCCTCCTCCTCCTCCTCCCTTGGATACGTCGTCTCCTCCTCCTCCTCCTCCTCCTCCTCCTCCTTCTCCTCCTCCTCCTCCTAGCGCCCTCTTCGGGCGGAAGTCTTCCTATGGGGAGAAGCGTTCCC